GGGGCTTAGAGCTGGGGGCTTAGGGTTTAAGGCTCCAGCGCTCAGGGGTCAAGGGCTTAATTAATTAATTAGTTAAGGTTTAGGGTTTAAGGCTTTAGAGCTTAGACCCAGTCATAATTAATTAGTTACAGTCCTACCCCGGGTGCGCCCCAAAACCCCCCCAAAAAAGCTCCCCTAATTTTAAAACCGAACCGCCGAAATCCAGTTTTAAAATTAGGGAGGGGGGGGAGCGTTTAATAATGGGGGAAGGGATTACTCACATATGGGGGTTATGTTACTTCATGTTGAGCTCAAAGTACAGCATAAGGTCAAGGTAAGGCACGCTATGCAACTTTTCATTAAGTTACGTTGTCTTGTGTTTGCTCTGAAAAGGAGGCCTCCGTGGAGAGCCGCTTGCCGGGCCTGGGGTTTGAGTGAGTGTTGTGATTCTTTTTTTGAGTTATATCTAGAATCATGCTATCCCTTCTGTTAGGCAAACCCTGCATTGACAGGTGTACTTTTGGGGGGGAAGTGGGCAAGCCGCCCCCTCTCCCCCTCTCCCTCACCCCTCGCTGAAGCCAAGCCAAACCCTCTTTAAGACTGAACCTCAGCGTCATGGTTGCTCCACAGATGACATACCAAGAGGGTGCGCGGAGTTTTGCTATCCAGCTGAGGCAGTAAGACCAGTACTTTAAGGAGTGATCAGAACACTCTTAGTTCCATCAGGCAGGATGATGAGAGCAAGGCTGCACATACTCATCAAAATGGAACCTTGCGGCTTTAGTTTGCGTGAGATAGCAGCAGATTCGGTTTAGCTTAAGCTGTATCAGACCATACAGACAGAATACTGTGTACACAGATGTAGTGAAAGATGATATTGTATGACAGCATAGCCTCATACGATTTAACAGAATCTTACTGCAGTGGTACCTCAAGTTGAACTGCATACGGTGCAATGTATTATGCTACAAAATACAGCATAAGGTCATGGTCATCCACACTATGCAACAACACATGAGACTGCGTTGTATTGCGTGTGTGTTGCATTGTAACATCATTGTAACATGGAAGCTATACTCATACAGGCTGCATACCCCCAACGATGAAGGCAAGAAGATTCTGTGTCCACCAAGCCTCCCCCACGTCCCCAAACCCTGTGCGACCCCCCTGCACCCACCCCAAAACGTACTGAACAATGCCTCAGCCTACCGAGAACTTGGGAGCTGAGCCTTGCTGGAGTTTTTTGGTGATAGTGACTTAGTGCCCTGTTTACTGATGTTTATTCCTGTTGCTGCGTTGGTCCCTCTCTGGTCTCTCTCTTTGTTGCAGAGACAGAACTCTGCGCCTTGTGGGAGCGTGAGAGAGTCGAAACCCTGTGCAACCTCCCCCGCCCCCTCCCTCCTCCCTCAAGACAGGAGATGGAAACAAAAAGCAAGAACGCATTGTTTCAGCCTGCTGCTTGAGAGCGGCTCGGGTCTTTTGCCCTCTCTCCGCTGTCGCCTTGTCAGGTCTCCCGGAATCGGCTGCGGGGCTTGGAGCCCATCGGCGCCCTGAGACATCTGCTGCACCTGAACGCCAGCCACAACCTTCTCATCAGGACTCTGTACCGTTCACGAAACTTGTCAGACTTCTATTTAGATGCAAGGAGTCAGAACTTCACTGCACCCGACGGGCTCGAGACCTGCGACATGTCCTACAACATGCTGGCGGAGCTCGGAGATTGGAAAGTGCATCGCTTCCTGCGGGAGCTCAACCTGCGCCAGTGGCTCAGGGAAGGAAGGGAGAAGCCGCCGCTCAGCCGGCCCAATCTACACTAGCTGCACTCGCCTTATACTTCTGCCGCTTCCTTAGGAGGCAACTACATCGGCTACATCGGCAATGGGCTCTTGGGCAATAAGGAGCTGCGCCTGCTGGACCTCTCCGAGAACCTGATCCTTCAGATTCGGAATTTGGAGCACCTGGAGCTGCGGACTCTTAGCCTGGCACAGAACAAACTCAGCTCCGTCGAAGGCGTGCAGTCCTTGACGAAGCTTCACAGCCTCGATGTGCGACACAACAACATCACCACCATCGACGCCCTGCATGCCCAGGACAGGAAAAAGACTGTGCAGCGCCGTAGCGCTAGGCTTGTCGCGGCAGCGCGCCTTGACTCCGGCTTGGTTTCCAGGACATTCCTCGCTTACGCAAGCTACGGGTCTCAGAGAATCGGATTTCGCAAATGAGGCCGAGCCGTGCAGCGAGCGATGCGAGCGGCCTCATTCCACTTCTGCTCTGCAGGGAGGTGGACCAGCTGGCCGATTTCCGTTTCCTGAGCGAGCTCTACCTGAACCCGAACCCCGTGTCCGGCGCTCACGCGGGAGAGAGATGCCTACCGCAGCCGCAGCCTACCGCAGCCGAGTTTTGCCCTTTTGCAGGTCCCAGCTGCCGCAGTACCGCGCACAGGTTCTGCACCGCCTGCCGCGGCTCCGGAGCCTGGATGCCGAGCAGGCCGGCATGGATGGGGGGCCCGGCCCGAGATGAAGCCTAAGAAGGGCCTCGGAATGTGTTCGTGCCGACTCGAGGTGAGCCCAGAGGAGCGCGTGAAGACCGAAGTGATCTACGGCGCCGCGGCTGCAACGGCCTGTCACCCTCGCCCCTGCTTGTGCTTTCTGGAGCTTGGGACTTGAATTGGGTTCATCGAATCCGAGGTGCCGATGTGGAGACGCGGCGGGAGATCTTCGAGCAGCTGCTGCCCGAGGAGACCTTTGTTGACCGGCGCCTCATGACCGAGGCCGGTTGCGGCCATGCTCTCTCTCTGCGCCCCCCTCTCTCAATGGGCTGGGGGGAGCGGGGGGGGGCCGCTGCTGTTTGGGTGAGGCCGGCATCGCCTTGGCGGAAGTGGAGGAATTCGGCAGCAACGGCGATGCTGGGCCCTTTGGCCACTTCCTGGTGGGACCGACCTTTGGAGATCCTCCCAGGACACAGCGCCGAGCTGATCTCCTTTGATCTCCTATCTTGGAAGGTCTTCATGACGTCAGGTTCTGTGTATCTGCGGCGGCAGCAGTCGGGGATGGGTTCCCACCACCATCAACCCTGACGTCTCGCCTGAGGAAGCATCGGCTCCCTAAACGGGAGGGCCCGATCGAACGACCTGGGCGTTGCTAAGGGTGCTGTCTATAAGAGCATGCGTGAACGCTGTGTCGGAACCAGTACCAGAGGGGCGAAACATGTGCATCCTACAGTGAGCTCAGCCTGGAAGGGCTCGGACCTAGTCCAAGACTGCGGGATTAACTTCACGGTGGCACATTCAATGTTGACGGGCTCGGCCTTCTTTGTGTCAACTTCTCCCACGGTTGTCTCCGCTCGTTTTCGGAAGCTTCTGATTACGGAAGCTGTCGGAGATGTCTTGCGGGTAAGCTCGGACGAGGGCCGGGAAGCTGGGATTGGGAAGGACGGTGAGGGAGGAGTCGGGGCGAGTCGGGGCATTGAACGATTCCTTTCGTGAATGGGCCCAGTTTCAGGGGGGCGTTTTGAAGTTGGCTTTCCTCCTGGAGCCAGCTAAGATAACCATCAGTGGACGTGGGCACTCTGCACAGTACCTGCAAAGATGCAGTTCTCCCGTGAGCTCGGGATGAGTGAAGGCGTTCGGCCTCCAAAGCGAAAGCACAGACCTCGGGGTCCCCCGCGTCCCTCACTTCCCTGGTGTCCGGTAGCTTTGTCAAACGCTAAAGACTCGATTGGTGCCGTCCGAGTGTTGCGGGTTGGCGTCGTTTTGGCAATCTGAAGTTCAAGGTGCACTTCAGCTGTTCAGCTCCCTTCAACAAGTCGTTGTGCTGATTTCCCATTTAAGCTGCCAGTCCATTGTGAGAGTCCAGCACGCTGCTGCGTATGCTGTGGGCGGGGGGGTGGCGGGCGGGGGGGTCGTGTGGTTGAGAAGGGGTGGCACGGCACCGATGCTGATATGAGCACGATGATGGTAAATCCATGGCGGTTGATACGTATTGACATCGGCTATCCTGATCACCACACCATCATCATCACCATCATCATCGTCGCACGTGCCGTTGGCCTTTGCAGCCACGACACGGACTGAATGTGCTGCCTCTCGCCCTTGGAGCTATACTGATCCTTATGGGAATGCTTCATGTTCTGCTGCGGGGGGCCAGGACCCGACTGCAGTATGCGAAATTCCGTCAGCGGCTAGAGCTGACAAGACTCGGTGGGACTCCAGAGGCGCCCAGTGCGCCCAGTGGTGACATGAGCACAATGCACACTGCACAGCTGCGCAGGGCGTCGCGGACTTCTCCAACTATCCTGCTCTCTATCAGAAGACGGCCGCCTTCGATGAGGACCTCCGTGAAATCCTCGAGGCGGACGACAGGAGTGTAGTTGTTTTTCTTGCAGCTTCCACCGCAGTTTTGAGGCCGTCGCCGAAGGCGGTTGTGAGGAGCTTTTGCTGGGCGAAGCCCAGATCACACCACAAGGCAGGAGTTGAGCTGCGCCCCCACTCATTGGGATGGGGTGTGGCATCTTTGCGCGCGAAGGCATTCGCGACATCATTGCCTTCATGCAGGATACACCCTGCAGATTATGCCGGGTCCCGAAGACACGCCTACAAGTAGCATGACTCGGGGCTCTGAGAGTTGAGGGTTCCGAGTTCTCAAGCTCAAGCCGACAAAGGGCGCCCGTCACGGCGTTCACCGCAAGCCGTCGCCCATGTCTGCCCATGCTCGTACAGAAGCTGGCCCTACAGGACGTGATCCAGTGCTCCCGTTCGGCGAAAGGAAGACGTCTTGATGTTTACACACGGCCAGGCTTCCAAAACGAAAGGAACGGAGACAACGGAGAACGAATCCGTCCGGCAAACAGAGAATCGGAAGCTGCAGACACTCTCAGCCCTGTCACGATTCGGCCAGTCCTTTCAACTTCGCCTTGTCAGGGTGATTGCCACGTCAGACTTCAGCCTGCGGCGGGAAGGGCCGAAGGGCTCAAAGCCCGGACCGACTTTTCGGGGCAAACGAAGAGCCTTCGCTGGTGGCAGGGGACGGGCTTACAGGTTTACATCCTTGCCTGGTGGCTGCAGTGAAAACATGCAAAACACCGAAAAATGCTTTACAAAAAACCACATGTGTTAAACCCGTTCTTACCTGCGTTCTGGAAAAAGCGACACGCAAAAAAGTTTTCCTTCGGGTTCATAAGTTCTATAAATTCCCATAACTTCCGGCAGCTCTGGTCTGCGCCCTAAAGCCTCAAACTTATAACTTAGTTAATAGCTTTGTTAAGTGCTGCAAAAAACTCTACTTCGCCTACTTGCGCGAGGTATGAGTGAAGTTGTGCAACTTCTAACATGAGTTGGCCAAAGTATACACAGCAATGGGTAAGCTAGCAGCTGGCTGTCGCCTGTCCTATTTGTGAGGTTTCATCAACCTTTCCGGCTGCTCCTCCGCTGCGCTGCTGGGGGTCCGCTGAACTCAGTCTCAAGAGGGAAAGAGGGGGCGGAGGGCCTTCAATGCTTCGCTCCGCTGCGTCTGAGGCGGAGCTGCTGAAGTCTTTCCCTCTCGACCGGGGCTGCAGCATCGAGCTGGAGAACTGTGGTCTGGCAGACTCCACAGTAGCACGATTGAGGCACGGCCATCTGCAAGCGAAAATGTCGTGTTTCTCTTACTTTCCTGCAGGAACAAAGCTGAAGACGCATCGAGAGCCCTTGCACGAGCCTCTGCAGAGCGCCAACGGGTGGCACAGCGCATGGCAGAGCACCTGGAGATGCAGGACCGGCAGAACAGCTAAAAATAGGGGAGTGGTGTGACCACATGCCAGCACAGCAGCGCCCACACTTGCAAAGGGCTGCGATGCCAAAGTCGTTTCGTCTTGCAGCCTGGCGAGTCGCGTCTGGAAAAGGGGAGATGGTAGATGTTACGAGTGCGAGGTTCCTTCGTCGTGAGCCGGCAAACCGGGTTAGCACCAGGCAAGCGAGGGGGTCCGGAGTCGAAGCAGCACGGCTCCGCGGCTTGCCGCCTTCATGTTGTCGACGTCGACGTAGCATCACTGGCATGAAAGGCTGCTGCCATGGACAACACTTCTGCGCCCGCCCTAACCCTAACGACGGTGCCTGTAGAGAAAGCACGAAGACCCTCCGCCCGTCAGCGGAAGGCAGCAGAGGCCCACAAGTGTTGTGGAATACTACGCAGTGGTTTATTGGCCACAGTTTCGGCACTGTCGTTTCACTTCTTCGGGCTTGGCAGCAACTCACCCAGGAACTCCAGCAGCAAACCAATTCCCAAGAGCAAGAGCGGCTCACCGCTCGCCGAAAGCTTCACGCACCTCTTGGCCTTCGCCTTTTTGAAGTTTCCTCGGCCTCGGGCCTCGGGGCCTCGGGGCCCGGCCCGGGCTCAGTCTAAACAGGACTACCTGGAAGAGAGGGCGGCAGAACAGCGCCCCAGCGAGTCGCGGGCTCAGATCCCGTCAGCAGAGCCTTGAGCTGAGCCTGAGCTGAGCCTGCGCTTCCGCTCAGGATGCCCGGCCCAGCGCCTGCGAGGGCGTGCCATCCTGCCCAGTGGCGTCCCGGGGCCGAAACCAGCCAGAAAGCTCTGGAAGGCTCTGGGCCTCTGGGGGCTGGGGGAGACGGCTTGGAGCTCACTGTGTGGGCTGTTCAGGCTTCCTCCGCGTGAATCCCAACAAGCTCGTCCAGGCCGGGTGGGGGACTCCGCGAAAGCCCGCCTGAGCCAGAGCAAGAGCACTCAGCAAGCGCCGTGGCCCAGCGCACTGCCGGCAGAGACGGGCCGCCAAAAGCCCGGCAATTTCCGAAGAGAACATTGCCCTACTGATTGGGACAGAGACCTTGCCTGAGAGGCCTCCAGTGGACCGGGCGACAGCGGCTCCCTGCCGCTCGGCGCCCTTTTTTCACAACCCAGAGCCTGCAGTGCTCTGCAGTGCGCTTTTCTGCTTTTCTCATCTCTGGATTTTTCCCATCGCAGGTGGACCATGAACGGAAAGAAAGGTGGCAAGAACTTCCAGCTCACAGCCGAGGAGCATACAAGCCTGTGCGAGAAGTTGGAGGACATGCTGCTGCTTGGCAGGCTTAGACGGCCTAGCTGGCCTAGCGTGAACGGAAAAGGCACGAAATGATCCGTGCTGGGCAGCCGAGGTTAGATTGGGGCTGTGAGTTCGACGGCGACCAGGTCCAAGGCTATGGAAAAGGGAAGCTGTGTAGCACGGTAAACGACTGCGGAGAGCAAGCTGTCGATGTATGCAGACGGTTTGAAGCTTGTGGCTGCACGCTTTGCCCGAAATTGCCAAGTTTTTGTCAGCGGTGTGCTCTGCTCGCCGTGATGACGGGCACGGGCTGTCCTGAGGCTGTTGACAGTAGTTCTGGCTTGACGCAGTGCCTCCTTGTCGTGCGTCAGTCAGTTTGCAGGAGTTCTGGCACCATGTAATGCTTCGAGTTCGCAAACTTTACGGTCCACACAGGGCGTCGCACGTGGCTTGATCGTGAACTTCGCAACCCTTTCAGCGGCTGCAAGCGTGTGTCGCCCTATTCGTTCTGGCACTAGTCTGCCTCTCGATCGATTCAACCTCGCAATCCATTTAAAACGTCGCCGTTGTAGCCTAGACCCTCCCTGTGCGAGCGTGAGCATCGAAACCCAAGAAGGTTGTGAGTTGTTGGAGCATAAGCCATTCCAACGTTTCTCGGCTACGGCGGCTACGGGGACTGTTTCAGGTGCCGCGTGAATGTCGCAGTGCCCAAAGCGCTCATCGCCATGACGATGCTGTTGATGGGGAGATGCTGTTGTTGTTGCTGTTGCGGCCGCCGTCGTTCGAATGTCGCCATGCTGGTGGTGATTGGGGGGCGGCAGCGGTGGTAGGTGTGGGTGTCCCAGTGGACGGGGGGGGGGGGAGGGGGGCCACATTTCGCTTCTAAGTGCTGGTGCGCCGCTGCCGAACCCTCTGAGAAGGATCGTCTGCCGTCTCATGGTGATGTCAGGAAGAAGGTATGGCAACACTCTGCAAGTCTGCTTGTGGGTGCTCGTTGGTGCTCATGATGCTGGTTCTACCGTTCTAGCTCTCGAAGCAGAAGTGACAGGAAGAGGACTGCCACGAGCTTTCGTGAACGCTTTCGGAGCCGACCCACGGCGCAGCCCGAAGCTTTTAGGTGCAAGGCCTCAGCTGACTCAGCTCAAGGGGCATCTTAAAGCCGCGGTCTTCTCTCTCTCTGAGCCGAGGCTTCATGCTTTGGGAGGGCGTGGCTCCCAGTGCACAAGTCAGGGGAGACGTGTATCGAAGTCCTGAAGAATGGGAGGCGAGTTCGGGTTCTGAGCCTAGGAGTCTAGCATCGAGTGTGCCCGGTACTCCAATACAAGCAGGCGGCTTGGGCATCCGAGCAGCAGCGCATGCGGGCTTTGACCGAGCAGGTGCTCGAATTTCTTTCAAGCTACCCGACGTTTGGGCCACTGCTTCTGGGTCTGATCGGAGGCCCGAGAGGAATACGACTCCGGCCAGCAAGCTCCTGGAGTGGCAAGCGGTCAGCTGATGGCCCACCTGAGCTGCTTCCCCTGGAAAGATGCCTCCGTCGCGTGCGCGTGGCTTCCAGTGATCTATAAGGCTTTCTGGCTGGCACCTCGGAGCTCAAGGCGCCTTCCGTCTTCGGCTTCCAGAAGGCGCGGTGGGGCTGTGCCGCGGGGAAGGCCGGATGTGAGCCCGATGTTGCACAATCGATTGCTGCCGAGTCTGCCGTCTTTTTGCGGAGCCCACTGCGGTGCTTTAGTGCGCCGCCGTCCGTGCGTGTGTGTGTGTGTGTCCTCTGCTCTGCCTCCCTGCTGAGAGGCGGAGGAGCGGGTGGCGCCTCGGCTCGGTGAGGACGTACACGACACGTGGGGGGAACCGATCTTCAGGTGTAGCGAGGGGGGGCCCTTCCCGGGGCCCCGTCTCTTTCGGACGCCTTCTTTGGGGCCTCGTTCGCTTCTTCAAGGATTGATTCGGAGATGGGACGGCAGAAAAGGGGGCTTCTTCGGCACCGGAGGACCTGCTGGCAGCGCTCGGCGCGGGGCTGGTCCTTTTGGAGCAAGTCCTTGCCGACGGCCTCGGCGTGAACAACCTGACGGTGACCCTAAGGCAAAGCTTCTCTGAATCCAAAAAGGGGTTCTAGATGCACTTGCTGCAGCTTCTGCCTAGCAGGTCCTTATCCTCGGAGCCCCTGCAGATCGCCCTGCGCCGCGGGACCATCTTTCAGCAGAAGACCTGGAATCACAGGCTCGTGGTCGGAGCTGTCGCACCCAAGGCGTCAAGCCACATCCAGCTCCAGGCAAAACTTGGTAACGGGTGTGGACTATGTGCTTGAAGTGCCACCGGGTGGCTGCGTAAGGAAAGAAGTGCCGCTTCCTTTGGACGAAGTTCCCATGTTTCCCTTGTCGGCGACATCGAAAGGTTGTCTTGCGGCTAAGGCTTGGGTTTTCCCTGAACTTCAACTGCCCGCCACCGCGCAGTGATGAAATGCATGTAACCGAGTTCTATTTTGACATTGAGCGTGTGCTTGGAAGTCAAGCGCTCATTTGGGATCACATGCAGGCCGCGTTTCACAAGTAGGTCCTGGTGGCACGTGCCGTCCAGTGTCCTTAGGTTTTCACCATGCCCCGGTGAAGCAGCTGGGGCAGCTTTCATGAGCTGGCGTACCTTCGGTGCTAAAAGCGAAGCAGGCTTTTGCGAGCTTTTGCGCTAGCACGCACTGGCCGAAGATGATCCCACCCGGACTTGCACCTGCTCTTGCCGTGAGAGGGGGTGGGTTTTCGATTGGACAGAGAGACTGTACAAGTCTCTGTCAGTGGCAAACACTGCCTTTCTGCACACGAAAAGCCCAAAGGGCAGAGGAAGGAAGGAAAGAGTGGAAAGCAGAGAGCTCTGCTTGGCGGCTCTCTGCGGCTCCCAGCCGCAGATCCAGCAGCTGAGGGGGTTTGGGTTTGACAAAGTGGGCGACCCCTGGGCTGCCGCCTGAAGTTCCGAATGGCGTCCGCCGGTCTGCGGAGGTGCCAGCAGGCGCAGCACAGCAGCGCAGCGGTAGGGCCGCTAGGGCCGCTAGGGTACTGTAGGGCGCTGCGGCTGAGCTGAGCGTTTCTTCCGCTTGGCCTGCTTGAGGGGCTGGCAGCCCTTGCTGGTGCCTGCTTTGTCGTGCCCAAGAGAGTCTCAGCAGATGGCCCGCGGCCCCGGAGCGGAGCTGCGGAGCTGCGGAGCGGAGACGAATCTGCGGCACTCAGCGGCTTTGCAGCGGCTAAGGCCCCTCACTCGACGACAGATCAGCGGCGAATCTCAGGCTGTCGCAGACACAGCACTGCGCTTCGCTGTGCTCTCTGCTCGGAGGCCCTTCCACTTGTCCTCTTGGCAGGAGCCCCATGCAGGCAGGACAGGGAGAACCCAGGATTTTCAACACTCCCTCTGCCTCCTCTGCCTCGGCTCCGTCGGCAGGACTGGTGAAGGAGAGACAGGCCGTGAGCGGAGGGTCAGAGTTTTGCTTTGGAGCTTGGCTTCTGGTTCCGGAGGTCAATAAGTTCCTGAACCCGATTGCGGTTTCTTGGCCACTCTTCAACTTCCTGAACCCTGCCTGGAGCTTGGGACGCTGCGTCCTTGGTGACGGTGTGTCCTAAACATTGCCGAGGACGAACTTGTCATGGGCCACATCATCCTAAATGACTCCAAGAAGGTGCAGAGGGGTCCTTGGGAGGGGGGCTCGATTCGCGGCATGACAGTGACTTTCTGTGGCTAGCGAGTTCTTTCTGCGGCTCTCTCAGGGAGCGGTCAGGGACGACTAGCGACATGAGTGAAGGGCGATCCGCCCAGTAGCGCCCATCCTTGGCCGATGGTTTCGGGGCCAAAAGTGCGACCACCGAGGCGGGCTCCAGCACAGTCCCTTCAACTTGCCCTCAACTCTTTTGTTCTTCCGAGTTCTCCCTTCTTCCCTTCCTTCCTTCCTTCTTCCTTTGCCGCGCGCTGCCCTGAGGAGCGGGAGAGACGGCGTGACCGATCCCGCCAAGGGTACACCCGAGGATGCACAGGAGGAGCCGACGGTGTCGCCGGAGCCGGAGAGTCGCTACGTGGCACGCGGCGCTGCGCATGTCTCTGCAGGACCGGAGGGAGAAGCAGGACGCGTTCTTCGACAGCTTGCCACAGGAGCAGAAGGGGGGGTTGGGGCCCGTTGGGGCGGGGGAGGCTTGCTTAAGCCTAAGCCTCTGTGCTCTCCGCTTAGAGGATCACCTCACCAACCCGGAGTTGGACCTGCGAGACTTGTTGGTGGAGGCTTTGAAGGTCCAGCCCAGCGGTCCTTCCGCCCTACTAGTCACTCTGCTGTCAACTCTGCTGCAGGGGAAGGGGCTCGTGCCTTTGCCGCAAGGAAGAGAGGAGAGAGGAGAGAGGACAGTAGCGAGCCGCACTCGCCAGGCGAAGCTGTCTCCCATCGCCTCGGATCGGGAGTTTTGCCGGGCGGCCCAAGCTGTCTCAAGTCCGTTCCGGCTCCGAGCCGCGTCGCCGAGGCCGCCGGAAGGCTCTCTTGGAGTGGCCGCGTGGGATCCGGCTCACTGCTTGGATCGAGAATCGCATCGGAGCAGAGGCGCCAAGACCGCAAACTGCGTGGCTCACACATCACGTGACCCGCGATGAAGGTGGAGGTGGTGCATGGCGCCTTCGGATCGGAGGCGGTGTGCCTCGTTCTTGTGGCTCGAGATCTTCCGACTCTGCTTTCAGGTGGGAGTGCGCTTACTCGACGTCGGGGGCATGGAGGAAGTTGATCCAGAAGCCTTCCTGGCAAGCCTACCGCCGGACGACTTCACGCAAGAAGAGAATACATTGCGAGAAAAGCTGTTTGAAGCTTGGCGAGACTTGACATCAAGGAGCGACCAGCGCAGCTCAGCTTCGACAGCGGTGCAACACGCAAAGTCGATTGGGACATCGCGCGGATTTTGTCTTTGGGGTTTTTAAGGCGATGTTAGCTTGCTCGACCTCGGCGAGCATCCAAACGCCGCCGGCCTGCGTTGGAGCAGAAGGCACTGCAGCACTTGTCGCTTGAGTGTCGCTGAGGTGAAGAAAGCTGGGGTTTTTTTGCCGCCGAAGATGCTGAGATCTTGGATCGAGGCGCGCCTCGGCGCGGAGATGGTCCTCACCGAGAACGAAGCGGGCGAGCTCTTGGCCGACTTCGCCACTTGGCCAGAGAAAAGCCGCGAACTGGCGCGCGAATCGCGAACAGCCATCGCCGGAATCGCCGCCGAATGTCAGGTCAATGAGGTCGCTTCCGACGCCGCGCACTCGGAGGCCCGGCCAAAGGGGCACCGCCTGAGCCGCACTTTGCACAAGGGCCGAGTGCCGAAAGCATCCGCCAAAGCGAGTGCGCCGATACGATGGCGAAATTCCGGGGTGCTCCCATGCCACGTGCAAATATGAGCCTCACAGCAGGTACGGCACAGTTTTTCTAGGGTTTCTTGAACAATTTGGTGCTTCTCTTGGTACAAGCTTCTGCCACAGGACACAACAACTGCCGGCGCAGGGACCCTTAAGCCCTTCTCTCTCACGGTCCCCGCTTCTGCCAGCTAGGCAAGGTTTCCTGCCAGTCTGTCCTTCACTTCGCTGCCCCTGCACCTTCGCTCTGCTGTTGCGATCTGCGACCACACTTCGTATGCAGTGCGGCCCAGTACGGCAAAGTGCTGGCCTCTACAAGACAGCGCACGAGCGAAGCGGTGAAGCTGAAAGCTGGCGGGCCCTTGCAAGGGCCCGAGCAGCGTCAAAGGCTGCGATCGCTTTAGGAGCCCTGCCCATTGGGTGAAGCAACACGACGTGAACATTGGCCAGATAAGTAAACACTGGTGATATGTGACTACATCTCACTAAACAAGCAAAACATTGCGGCTGTTTTCGCCGTCACTTGTAACAGAGTACTATTGAGCAGTATGTCAATATCCGCCAAGTTCTGACTTCAGCTGTATGCAGGTGGTGAGCACTTGCTGTTCTACTCATATCTCAGTGACCAAGGCAATGGACAGCTGTGCCCAGTGAAACCTCGAAACGAATTGGGGAAATGGTGCCATCTGCTGAAGCAGACGCCACGGTCCATAAGCTGAGCAAGCACACGCATACAAGGGCAGGCTGCTGAATTCTGAGTATGTAAGTTGAAACCAAAATGTCAAATAGACGTTCTTTTCCTTCCATAACTCAGTACTAAGGGTTACTGGGATATCAGGCGGGGCCTTTGAAAAGATACCAGTAACAGACTTATTTAGAAAAAGTGAAAATCATGCGCAAATATTGAACGGCAATGGTATCAACTCCGTACTGGGTTCCCTGCCAGTTGCATGTTAGCTAGCCTGATACCAGATTTCCTGCATTAGTATGAAAAGCTTCTTATGAAATTGGACAATTTTGGTAAGCATTCATAAGTGTACAGCATGCAGATCAAACGGTGAGCACCACCGCCGCTTATTACTTACGTTTTTTGCCGGCTGTGCTGCGCACCAACACTTGACATACGTGTTCCAACGGTTCTACGAGGGATTACCGGTGATGATACAAATATAAATGACGAAAGGCTTGGTAGGGAACTGCTGATGATGGGTCTGGGAGGGCTGGCGGGGGTAGTACACATGTGTCTAGAACATAGGTAAGTATGTGCTCCGCATGTTTTCTCATCGCCAGTTAGCCCTGAGGGGGCATGTTGCTGTCATCATGTTGTGCTTAGTTGGTGTCAGCATCCTTACGCACATTGTCATCGGTATGTCCATGATCCTTCGGCCCGCAGGCCAAAAGCAGAAAGCCAAAGAGCAGAAAAACAAATAGTGGCAAGCGCAGGAACCCGAATCAAAACACGCAACAGTTAGTAGATTCAGCTCACGTGTTGCCACGGAACTGCGCACGACACCAGGCGCCCCTGGCGCCGGCGGATGCGCGTGCAGAGGAGAGTCCACCATGTTGCAAGGCGGATAATTAATCGGATATCGCAGCGCTGATCCACGTATTGTGTTCGCAGGACGAAGCCAAAATTCTCTCGTTCTTTCGAGGGCCTTTGCGTCCGGAAGAGAAAGACTTGGAACGGGCTTGCATTGATGCGATCATCAAAAGCACGCTGTCTGCGAGCACATCCTTCACATCGTCCGGCGGCAGCACGCCTATGAACTTTTCCAGTGTCCTCAACGCAGACAAGGCCGGCCCGGTACTGTGCGGAGGATGCGCCTGCGCTTGCAATGCCTTGCAATGCTTGAGGCTTTCCAGGAAGCCTGGCGGAGGTGTAAATCGAAGTGGTCCGCCTTGGAGCCGCCCGAGGGTCCTCTGGAGGCGGGATCCGGCAAAGCAGCCGATTCAGACGCTTCAATTTCCCACGCATCCGGAAGGTTCCGCTCTCACGCTGGGTGGAGATGCGGGTGACGGACGTGAAAGTTTCCAGAGATCCGTTTGTTTCGCTGAGAAGCACTGCTGTAGCCCGCCTGGGTCTTCAGCGTCAGCTGCAAAAGCGGCCCAACAGTCCCGGACGAGAAGCACCTCGAGCACTGAAGAGGCTTCGGGCTTCGGTGCCAGTGCCGTTGCCGTCCCAACCGCCCGGTTCTCGCTTGGCTGCTCGCCCGGCGCTCCCGTCGGCACCCTTCAGGCCCAGGCCCTCCACCGGGCCCTACGAGGAGCCTCTGAGGCAAGCACGCCGGCGCCCTCGCTTTCGTAGTCGGGCCATTGGCAAGGAGCCTGGTCCGCCACCTAGGAATGTCAGAGGAGGAGGAGGCTCAGGACGATGAGCCGCAGCAGCGGCGGAAAAGACAGCTTACGTACTTTCTGCGCAGCTGCCTCTCTGCCTGCGATTTGGGGTTGAGGCTCTCGGTGTCATGCGGCACTGTGCTCGTTGCAAGGCCTCCCGACCAAAGGAGCTCGCCAACGGTGCCTCGGGAAACGGAAGGGGTCTTTGGATCGTGTTTTCTCCGAGCGCAGCAAGAAAGCAGGTTGCGTCAGGGGGAACGCGTGCCGTGAGATCTTCCACAACCCCAGCGAGGCCCGGCCTGAGGCCTTCCTTGTCGGCTCTGTGGCTCGAGGCTCGGTGAGACTGCCCAATCTCAGGTCCGAGCCGCCATTGTGACTTGCGGGGGGCTTTGCCGGAAGCTGAAAGGGCAGAGAGAGGGCAGAGAGGGCAGAGTCGAAGTCCTCTCTGCTCGGCTCCGGGCCCTTGGGCTCCAGGCCCCGGGCTGAACTCCATCATCCGCGAGATCACCAACTGTTTGTGGCCCCTCGGACTCTGCTCGTCTCCGGCCTCTCTGCCCGGCCTCTTCACCGTCTAAAGCCAAGGCACCAATATGGCGACCTGCACTGAGTCTCTGACAACTTGCTGCCGCTCTGCCGGCTCTGCCGGCTCTGCTCTGGTGCCTGAGGTGAAGACCATTCTCGGCATGCAAGCCGGATACAACGGGCCGCGGAGAGAGTAATGCCTTCTACGCCGGCAGAGAGTTCCATGCAGCGGCGGAGTGAGGTGCAGTTCGCCGGACGACTTCCCACCCATCCAGTCCTCACACTCAGTCGCCGGACCCAGAGCACAAGGTGCTGCCTTCTTGCCTTCGAGGCTTAATGTCGACAATGTGCGAGACATCCACATGAAAGGAGGCAGCATCTTGAAGGCACGCGGGCTGGTTGTACAGTCTTGTACGGTGTACAGCCATGTTGATGGAGGGGCGGGAGAGGAAGAGAGGAAGCAGGCACAGCTGAGGCTAAGGCTGAGGTGCAGCACAGGGCCCCGGGAACGTATGGGTAACTCGCGCAGCGGGGCCGGGCTCGTGTTGGAGGGTCAGAGAAAAGGTCATGGACATGAGACAAAAGTCAAGGGAGCAGAGTGCTGGGCCGAGGCGGGGCGGGGCGGAATGGATGATCCGGACAAGATCTTGGATCAGCGCAAGCCTCAGCATGTGCCTGGCGAAGCGATCAGCTCGGCGAGCTGTTTCAGGCTGCAGAAGATGGGCATCAACATGCTGCAGCCCGAGCCAATGCAGACTCGAGAGCAGTTGCCTGCCGCCGATGTCCTTGAGGCTCTTTACCGTCGGCGGTGACGGTACTCAGGACCTGTTCAGCTGGCTTCAGCTGACTGGAAAGACTGGCGCGACCGGCAGGCTGCAGCGAACTTGCTGTACAAAGCGGCGCGTAAGAGGGACATGTCTGGAGCCTTGAAGAAGCTGAAGAATTGGCTTCTTGCTTCTTGCAGCCCGCTCCGAGTCTCCGAGGCCTTTGTCCATAGTCGGGGTGCCCAAGTCCATCGATAATGACATCGTCTTCTTCGACAAGACCTTCGGCCACTCAGAAAACAAGAAGCAGAGTCTGCACACACAACACGCCCACACACACACACACCATATACATATATATATATATATATATACATATATATATATATATATCTCCGCACATCGCTGACATCGACATGTCCGCTCCCCGCGGCTCCCGGCGAGCGGCTCGAGTGCCTGAAGGCTTCGACTCGGCAGTCGCTGCGGCCTCCGAGGTGATCCGCGAGGGCCCAAAAGGGAAGACGCTAATTGCATCGCAGAGCAGCGACTAACGCGCAGAGCGCAGAGCGCGCTGAGCGCAGGGAACGGCTGGGTGGAGGCGACGAGCTCGGAGCTGAGACCCCCGAGCGGTGCCGCCCGTGGCCGCCGTCCGTCGCGGTCCGCGTCCGCTGCATCGGGGTGCGGCTGACGAGAAGTCGCCGGCTGGACGCGAGGTTGCGCGAAGGGCGTGGGCATCGTGAAGTTGATGGGACTGTGCTTTCGGCGCTTTCTTGCCGCCAACTAAGCGACTCTCAGTCTCAGCGAGAGGACGTGATGCTGGCTTTGTGGCCATGCATGCGGCGCTGGCCTCCACCATCGTGGACTTGGTGATGATTCCGGAGGCCAGGGGTAGCCAGGAGACGGAGAGGCGAGAGGTTGTTGGCCTGTTGGCAGGTGGACGTCGAGCATCGCGCCCAGTTCCGAAAACCGCCCCGCAGCCTCCCGCAGCCTTTGCTCTCAGGATGGAGGAGATCATGAAGCACGTGGATACAACCCTAGCACGCAAGGAGGGCGAAAAGCACGGATGCCGGTCCATGCCAAGGCGAAGCGGAGCTTCTGCACGCGTCCAGGACTTCATGGTCGTCGCAGTGGCGGAGGGTGCTGGGCAAAAGTTTGTTTCGACGGGGAAGAAGGATTCGCCTGCAGCCAAGCTGTGTTCGTAAGAGTTTTACGATTCCTGTCGCTGGGCAACTCCGGCTGAGGACAGGTCACACAGTGTATGGCGACATCGGTACGTACCTTAAGGCGTGGAGCTCGTTTCCCCAGAATCTGGGAAAGAGAGAGTCAGAGGACCAGATCAACGCGCACCTGAAGAAGAGTGGCGGCCACGCGCCTGCGAGAGAATGCGCAGTCAAATCAGTAGAAAGACTGTCAGCAAAGCCGGGCCCCGAGTCAGGACGGTCCTTCTACATCGACCCCTCCTACATCATCCGCTCCGCCGCTCCAGCAGCGAGAGAGTGCCGAAGTGATCGAAGCGCCCGCGAGAGCTCAGGTGACCATCCGACCTAACGACCACATTTACTGCTCCAGGCAACAACAAAAAGAGAGAGAGGGAAGAGTGAAGTGAACTTCTTAGGAAAGTCTTTATTTCTCAAGGCTGGCACGTGACGCCGTCCATACGGCGATGAGAGGCTACACTGGCGTTTGTGTGGGGCCGGTGCCTTTGGTTCTCAGGGAGGAGAGAGCATTTGCCGGCGAGAGAGAGAGAGAGAGAGAGAGAGAGAGAGAGAGGCAGGGGGGCTGCTTTTTGTGTGTGTCGAGGCCGATCCACAACATCATCGCCAGAGCCTCGTTGCGCCTCGATACGCCTCGCCTCGGCCGTGGGCGGCGACGGAGGTGGTGATGCCCTCCAACCTCATCGCCAGCCGTGCAGTCCTCAGCAGAGAGACCCTTTTCCGCGCCTCGCCTTTCCGGCCGCCGATCTTAGGCAAAAAGAAAATAAGTGTTCACAGCAGTTCTTGGCAGTCCTGCGTGCAGTCGCGGCCTCAAGCTGCTGCAGGCGCCACGCCCCCCCTGCCCCCCAAGTAAGCAGCTAAGCAACAGGTCGCTAGACCATCTAGGCCACCCAGGGCCACCCAAGACCACCCACTAACCCCATCGTGGCAAGGCAAGGTGCAAGCGCGACCTCGGAGTAGGGTAACCGGGTAACCCCTTTCAGAATCCCAGCTTGGCAGGAACCTCTGCAGGCATTCGAGTCCATGTAGGGCATGTCACCTTGAAGCCTTGCTGCAAGAAGATGCTTTGCAAGGTCCTGCAACATGCCCAAGTCTTTGGCCGGCCTCAACAAGTGACGAGCGCCACGGAGGGCTTTGGTCCAGGGAGGTGCCGAAGAGCGGAAGATCTGATGGCGTGACTCCTAGGACGTGTCGGAACAGAGCACGCCGCCGCAGCCTGTTGGCGACTGGCAGTGAAAGGCAGCGTTCACAGCGCGCAAAAGCCCCGGCAGTCTGTAGCACTGCATAGCACCTGTCCGAAAGCGCACCGGCAGTTTGCGCAAGCGATCTCGGAGCGAGAGACATGCTTGAGTCAGCGATGCAACAGTGGTCTCTCTTATGTCTGGTCTTCATGTCTACACTAGCACGAAGAGCCAAGCCTGAGTGCAACTAGGACGTCTAAGACCTGCAAGCTTGCGCCGCTTGCGCCGCTTGTGGCCCTTCGGCGCCATGGGGAAGAGCCGGCAGCGACGGGCGAAGTGCGCGGTGCTGCGACTGCTGCTGTTGGTGAGTCTGAGTCTCGGAGTGGCTCAAAAGGCCTGGGTTGGCCCGGCACGGGTTCCGGCAGGGGGGGCGGCATCGCCTCGGTCGCCTCGGTTTAAACGAGGAAGGATCCAAGCACGCAGCTGGAGAGTCGGTCCACTTGGCCCAGTTGAAAGCGCCGCGGCTTTCCGGATTTATTATCTGCCTTTTGTGGAGCCTCTCGACATCGATGGTAACCTCCTGGACCAGCTCTTCGGCGGTTGGTTTGGGCCTGTGGCTCCTCTGTTGCTGGGTGTTCTGGTCTTCTGGATCCAAGGCCAGATCAACGCAGTTCGCCGGGAGCAGGAAGGAAAAGTCTTAAGCAAAGCCGCCAAAGCGGTTGGCTCTGCAGCCAGCGGCGCTGCCAGCAGCGCAGCTCTTAGCCTCTCGGAGAGGCTCTCGTCCTTACCGAAGGAGCAGTGGCTGAAGCTGCTCATCTGCTTGGCCATCGACCTTGCCGGTGATGCCACCTTCTTGCTCCCAGGCGGGGGAGCCTAAGCCCGGAGCCTAAGCCTGAGCCCACTGAGCATCTCGCCGCCCCCCGTCCGCGAACCCCTCCTCTCGCTCGCAGGTTTGGGGGAGTTCGGAGATGTGGCTTACGCGCCTCTGGAAGCCTTTGCCCTGCGCTTCTTGTTCGGTGGCACTGGGCTTTCTGTCCTCGGCTTCTTCGAGGAAGCTCTGCCCTTCACTGATGCCTTGCCCACCGCCACAACCGGTTGGGTTCTTCAAACGCTCTTCAGCGACTCTCCCGTCGCCAACCTCCTGGGAGTCCAGCCATTGCAGCAGGCCGAGAAGAAGCCGTGAAAACGGTGCAAGGAAGGCGACAAAATGAGTTGGCCGTCTTGATCTCCACAGCGGAACACTCACTCTCCCTGTCTCTGTCTGCACCTTTGGCTCACAGTGCCGTCGACACACCTAGCGAACCGGTACACCGTCAATGGCCTAGTTCTCTTCTCGAGCTGGTCGTAAAGGCCAGAGCCGGAGTCGCACTGAGGCGCACGAAGACCCCCGCGTGCGCAGGGAGCTCGTTTTCACGAAGCTGGGGAGGGAGACACAGAGAGAGAGAGAGAAGGCAAGCTTTGGACTGGAGGATCCTTTTAAACGACGCTAAGACAAGCCGCTTCCTCCGCTGACCGAGGAGATTCCACGAATCCATGGCTCAGCGATTTCTCGCGCGAGGCCCAGCCGAGGCCCAGCACACCCGCCCCGACTCGTCACCCATGGTCCCGACGAGACACTTCGGCCGGACATCAGAACGCTGTTGAAGCTTCTCTTGTTCAAACCTTTTCGATGTCGTTGAGACCCAGAGGTGGCACCCTTCTCTCTCAGGTCCTTGCGCTTAGCTCCCTTGTTTTTGGGAGGGCCCAGCCGAACCCCAAGTGCTCTTCCGTGCTCCGTGCTCCTTGCTCCTTTCTTGCAGAGTGCCTCGCTTCCAAGGCTTCATGCACGTGAGCGCGACAGTGTCTGGAAGGAGAACGTTGCCCCAAACCCAAGTCCGTAAGCCTCCTACGGTCCTACATCCTCCGCCGTCTGCTTCCTTAGAGGACTCGGACTTGGAGAGCGCTGAGCGCTGCCCAGGGCAGCAGCCTCTGATCCTTGCTTGGCAGGGCCGAAGCCAGGAAGCGACACGGCCAGCATCGCTCCATCGATAGACATCGCCGTTCCGCCGAAGCCGACTGAGGGTCTCCTTGCTGCAGTCCTCTGCCAAGCGACCCGGTCACGATCGAGAGCACAGCGAGGCGGGCACAGAAAAGGCAGGACAGGGAGCCCCTGAGTACAAAGTGCAGGAGATGGGAAAGATCCCGGAAGCCATTCCTTTTGCTTCTTTGGTCGAGAGCTCCGCGCCGTTCCTCTGCTGCAGAGAGTTTTTGGACAGGGGCTTGCAAGCGCAGCCCCTGAGGTCACATCCGGTGATGCTGAGCCAAATCAAGCAGGCGAGAGCCTTCGCCCTTCGCCGCTCTCTTCTGGGGCTCTGCCGTGGCAGGTGGTGGAGCTGGCCCAGACTCGAGTGCAGACCAAGGCCGCGGCCTCTGATCTGGTGGCCTCACTAAAAAAACTCCGAAACCCCCTGGCCGTCAGCGCACCCTTTCAGGTGGGCGAGGCTCCTTACTTCATCATCGCCAGCACCTCACATATCTTTTTCTATCAGGTCAGAGAGGCGCTCGATAGAGGCGCGACTGGCCCCAGGCGGTCGCGATCGGAGGCTTCCTCCTCTCCTTGCTCTCCATCTGCATGAGCGAGGGCCCCATCGCTGCCTCTGCTGGGCCTCCGTTGCCCAAGGAAGGCCGTTGGGCGGCCGTTACAAATATCGAAAGTAGGTGGACCGCCTTCCAGTTTGGGCGCGGCAAGTGCCTGGCGAATCTGGCGAGCAGATCATTTATGCACTTTGTTCCACTCAGGTTTAGTCTTTGTGGAGCGAGGCCTTTCCAAGGCCAGCTTGGCTTTCAGCAATGCGTACGACAGATCGGTGACGTTCAAGGATGGAGACGTCTACGCAGAGCCGTCTGCATCTGCCACTGGCCTCGGAGTGTCGGGTGTATAGTAGCGCAGTCTAAGTAACGAATTAAAGGGAGAGCCATGAAGGAAAGGAAAAGCCTTGAATGATGCAGAGGCCCTCCTCTCGCAGCGCCTGCGCGTCTGGAGCCAAGAGAGAGCTTAGAAGGGAAGAAGTTTTCAGCGCTCGGGCTCGGGCCCCGGCCCCCAACCAAGGCCTTGGGCTTGGGAGACGCCCGCAGCTACCGCGCCAGCGCCCGGGCGGAGAGGCCGGAGCTCCGGGGGAGGGAGTCGCGGGAGCGCGACGCGCCACGACCGCGGCGCGGAAAGCGCGACGCGCCACCGCGGCGCCGCGAGGGCGGAGATGTTTGGAGCTGCTCGGAGCCGAGACCGGAGCCGAGCCGGCCGGAGCCCGAAATCCCCGGCTCTGAGGCTCCCCGAACCTGGGAGCACGGCGGAGGGAACGGGTATCAAGGCCTCGGACAAAGGGGGAAACAAGGAAAGAGGGGTGGGAGGGAGGTTGCGATGGTAGCGCTTGGTTTTTGTTTTTTTCTGAGGAAACAAGCCTATGCTCATGGCAGATGGGCGGGGGACCCACCGGCAGCCAGCTTCTTGTGGTCGAGACCCTCGCGGTCGTTGCGCCGAGGCAGCGTCGCCTGCAGATCGTCATTCCGCAGCCTCTTGAAGGCACGAGCTCTCAGAGGTGTTTGTGCTCCCGTGCTTCCTGGTTTCCCACCGTGTTGGTCGCAGCCTGTGCCACCAGAATGATCGGTGCTCGTAGGAGCCGTCGTAAGAGGGCAGATAGAAGTTGCACGGCTGAGCGGAGTGCAGTGACGTATCGGGAAGATGTGCTTAGCCGTCTTGCCAAGACTGCAAATCTGCATAGCACCTCTGCAAACTTCGCATGTGCGCTGCGACAGGCGGCAGAGTCGGTTGGGTGCCCCAAGTCTTCGGAGTTCTCCGCGGCAACAAGGGGACAGTGCACTGGCCCCATTAAGGCTTGAACTTGTCAGAGGACGATCTAGTGGTCAACAACTTCGGTGACCTGCGGGTGGGCAGCCTGGGATCGGAAAGCACGGGGGGGGGGGGTGTTCTTTCGTTAGTAGATTTCCTGAGCTCTCGAGGCCTACGATCTTGGCTTCCGGGTCGGGGACCGTCTCTTGCAGGCACAGGGGCAAGGACGATGTGCGCGCCAGTGTTTTCCCGTTGCCAAGCAGAAGGTGAACCAGGTGCCAGTCTTCCGAGAATCAGACTTCAAGTTCGTGATGCAGGCGCGGCTGCGGCCAAGCAGGGTTAGAGCGGTTGAGACTCTCCGCGAGGATGCCTTGCGCAGAAACTCGGAGCGTGGTGAGTGAGGAGCCCAGACAGAGTTAGGGCCCCCTTCGCCCAGTGTGGCCTATGGCAATGCAATATATGAAAAATCCGTTTTCACACTCTTGAACCCGAATACTCCTATCTATCCAAGTGCCATAGCCCCAACTAGGCAAGGGGTTCCTTGCAGAATTTGGCCCATGCTGAAAAGGGTTAAGGGTTAATCATTCGCTTAATCTTCTCGGATTCTCCAAGAATGCTGTGAATACAATGAAATTATAATATTTCTGCTTATGTATTATATCTACACTATAACTATGCTGTTACTGGTTTCAATCGCGGTGGTTTGTTAAAATGTCTTGACCACATCTGAGGCAAGTAGCAAGAAACGCAAGTGTTACAACAATAATGTTGTTTGCCGCTCATTTCTCTGATCTTGTCTGGTTTGGGAACATCCTTCTCAAAATCGGGATCGGTTAGCTTCTGCAGGAAATGCTGATGCCTTTGTGACTTTTCGTGTTGGGCTTGTTTATATTTCTTTATTTCGCAATTAGAAAAGAAGTCACGTGACAACCTCGTCTTTAATTTTGTTTCAGCGATTCTGTCTCCACTCTTTATTTTTTTCGGTGTTGTGTGCCCTGTATTGTCTCTTTTGTTCCACTATTTGTTGCTTATGTGCCTGACCATATCGTTTCGTTTTTTTCTCTACATACGTTACAAGTCTTATAGTTCTCGTCAATTTTTCAATCTTCTGCATTAGTTGACACTTACTGTAATATCTCCTTCCTTCCATTACTCAATATATATATATATATGTATATATATAGGTGCAATTTCTTTAAGTGCGTATCCCGCCCAGTGTCTCAACATTCAATACAAGTCAACATATATTTAGCATAATTATAAGAATGCTTACTAACACAATAGCAACGCTTAGAACAATCCATGTGTTTGACTTGCTTACAACGGCAACACTTCCTAGTAACAACATAAACTGTTTCGTTATATGGATCAAAATCAACTGATATCTTATCTACTCTTACCGGCATTATTATTAGTATGAACATTTTTTCATAAATTATGAAAATTTGCACCGGTTCCTTAAGATTTAACGGAACTAATTACGAACTACTGTCATTGCCAAACTCTTATGGTTTGCCTATGAACTGCTAGGCACGGGGGGGCATTGGCTCACTTCCTTTTTCTGTTAGGTTGGGGACTTTTTATATGCCAAGATGGCCTGCCAAAACACAGTAGAAGTGTTTGTTTTAAGTTGTTTCTCAAGTAATTTCTTAATGACTTCGCCTGTGTCATTCTTCTCTTGTGTAATTGAATTAAAAGAAGAAGCTAAAATTATGCTTACGAGAGTAATTGAAGAAGGGGACAACACAGTTGCCCAACCTCAGTTAGAGAAACAGAGCATAGATCATATTAAATGCCATGCAAAATGTAGTAATACAAACCTAAATAAAGTATATAGTTGTGGATTTGGTCTTAGCCCAGAGTCAAGACAATATGATCAATTCTCTCCAGTTTGGATTACCCGAATCGGCGGCTTGCATCAAGTAACCCTTGAGCAAAGAAGTCGACTGACATGCTCGAATGACCTATGGAATACAATCCGCAGTCGTGTTCATCTTGATCTGAAGGGTTGCCTGGGACGTAAGCAGGAAAAACCAACTCCCAAAGCAGTCATGTCCTGTTCGTTCGATTTCTTCGTATCAGTCATGGTGAAGCCGGATATGCTAAATCGTTCTCGATAGATAGCGTATGCGCTTAGGGTTCAACCTAAGGACTCTGTTCTTGGTCTCATAAAGCGTACCGTACATAGATGCTTCCTGGACCTGAACGCAAGTCTTTCTCTCGGGATCTTCCACCCAAAGTTCGCCACCCTTGAACTCACCCATGCTTATGGCGTAGTTGAAGGTACCACCCCTCCAGTGAAGCGTGAATTGGATGGTCTTTGGGTGTTCAGCCCGGGGGTCGGTGGCACTGGCGGCAGCCATTAAATCGGGCATCACTTCCCCGAGCGCGTGTGCTCGACACCAGGTGACGTGTGGCCTTGCATTGCTTTAGCAAAAGCCGCGTCCGCTGGTGCCGCCGACCCCACCTAATTTCGAGTTTTTGTTGCGTAATACGCCATGGGTAGCCCCCAAGGGCGCGCATCATGAGCATCAGCGGGGTTCGGTGGACCCCAGAGGGCGCGCATCATCAGCATCAGCGGGGTTTGGCGAGGCCGGGGGGTGGGTGGCCTAGCCTTGCTCCAGGCTTCTACCTGCACTGCCCGCCCCTTGAATATTTTTTTCTTTGAACCAATTTCCTAATACATAAAGATAGTTAAAATGGAAAAATCTGTGGAAGAATTTTGATTTAAAAAGAAAATACATATATAGGTTAATTACCTTAGTATATGTCCAAAGCCATTAAGCGAAATACGGAAGCACCACAAACCTTCTATAACAACAAGCGAAACCGCATCCCCCAAGCCACCAGAACAAAAGTTCAAAGCATAATTAATGTATACTCAGACCGTAAGATCGCCCGATTCACCACAGCAGACAATTTAATCAGGAAACTCACCACCGCAAAAACAGACAAAGAAAACACCAAAGCGGAAAAATAATACAACAAGATCCACGACAAACAGAAGGATAAAGAACAACTAGGTCAGGGAATGGCACAAGCAAAAGAAGACAACAAAAGAACAGGAAGCACCAACCCAAGAAAACCAAGAACCTATTCAATCAATGTCCATTTATACGAGAAATTTCTCCCCGTTGCCCACGAGTATGGCGAAAAACTTATTTGTGGTTACTGCGTCGTCATCTATGTTCTGGGATAAACTGTTCTGGGGTACTACGAACAAAGCGTTATAACCCAACTTGCTGAAATTCTTTGTTACATGCGACTTGCCACCGCCTGCATACTTACATCGGATCATCATAGGGTTATGTGTTACAATATCTTTTGCTATGCTTTCCGTGTCCCATTCGTTTTCTATGGGTCGGGTCTAGCTATTGAATACTGGTATGTTGATCAGTTCGTTCTTTGTTGGTGTCCACTGCTCTGCGGGTTCCGCTATGTTTTTGCTCTTTTCGTGTCTCCATCCGCCGATACGATCTGAAAACTTTATTAGGTTCTTAGCACGTCTTGCTCCTTCCTAATTACGAAGGCATCGGTTTTAAGACTCCAGACTCCTATATGATTTTGTGTCAGCTTGGCGTAGTCGCTGTGCATTTTAAAGTTATGATGTTGTAACACTAGTTCTTTGATGTATACATATCCGTTTCGTAAGGTGGCTTTATCGGTCACTGTTAGGCAATAGTATTTCTTCTCCATTTCCTTGTCTATACCAATTACTCTTCCACCTGGAGTATCAACCCATTCGGTATATATACCCGAGATTCTGTTAACCTTTCCTCCGATCTTGTTCTGATAGTATAGGGCTTCCTTTAGTGTATCAAAAGCCATAACTTTTGTGGGCTTTGTTCGTGTTCTTCTCATGTAGTCCGAAGTTAACATGAGCTATTAACTTTTGGATCCTGATGGCTGGTTTATCCGATAATATGTCTGTCTTCCATAATTCCGCTGTGATCTTCCTATCATCCACCTTGTATACTCTGGATGGTTGCTTATAATATAGAATCTTACACTGCTTCACAAAGTGCATTAAAAACAAACCATATACTAAAGTGTTGGCTTTATTGAAGAATAAGCTCCACTAGGTGGGCTTGACCCAGTAGAGAGTTACATCGTGAAAATCAGCCACGTTACCAAGGCTTCTAGATATCAAACTGAGTGAACACAGGTATTTCGGCGATATTGTTAAATGCAGATGTATAAGCTTTTCTGACATCTATCTCCGTAGTCACTTCTGGGGTATAAAAGGTGGGATTCATGCCCTCCTTGAAACTTCGGGTACGCAAGATACCATCAAGAACATGATTGGAAGGGCGAGCGACCAATCCCATCGCATAGTGATGTTGCGTGCTGAGTCCAATCACGAGAGGTGTCACAGACACGCGATTGTCACTTATATTTTACAATGGTTAGGCAAATGTGTGAAGCACATCCGCATGGATTCTACGGTTGAACCACACCATGATACTGCCATGCCCCCTACAAAGACGTGCTACTCGTGCTGCGGGGAACTTGGGTCACCCAATCCCGCTGGCAAGCCGAGCTCAACTTCGAAACATGAGCCCTGACGACATAGGCGAGGGGGTGTCGGATCTTGCTAGTTTCATCGACTATTATAACTCTCCTGTTGTTGTGCAGTTGGGTTAGGATAAAGTGATGGAGACAGAGTGGTTGAAATACGTAGAGTTCAACGCAGTAATCCCGCGCACAGTCACGGAGAAGGAGAAGCTTACTCGAGCCGGTCACATCGCATTCCCACAAAGTGGGTCTTGACTGATAAGATAAGAATGAACACTTGAAGGGGACACCTGAATACACCCCCAAGTGGAAGGTGCGCTTGGATGCATGCGGGAATTTCGAGCAGATGAATGGCGAGATATACGCGCCGACTCTCCCACCGCGGAGCAGGAAGGTATAGCATTGATATGCAGTTGGGCGGTTTCTCTAGGTTTGAGACTCCGCGCTGTGGACATCACCAATGCCTAGTTTCAGGGTAAGCCCTTGAAGAGGCTCCTGATTTTGAGGGCTCCGAAGCACCCGAAGGGTGTTCCCGATCGCGAGATACAAGAGGCGGGTTTTATGATGGCGCGAGTTCCTGTATACGGCACCACAGACGCGGGAAGGAACCTTTATCTCCGCATAAAGAAGAGTAGCCGTGAATTCGGCCTATGCACTTCTCAGATATTATCGGCTCTGTACGTCTTGATTGACGATGAAGGTGCACTTTGTGCTACTGCCGCACGCGGTAAAGGAGAATTGGCAATCCAGAAGCTTCTTGACAGCTCTAAAATAACAGGACCAGTGTCGCTTCTGCGGACGTGAATACACTCAACACTCTGACGGGTCGATTGAGATAACGTGTAGAGACAATACGAGGGCTATAAGGCCAATCGGCATTCAGAAAAGCGAAAAAGGCGGTACACCAATGCGCAACGCACCGCATCATTGGCGTGGGTCGCACGTGCTACACGTCCCGACTTAGCCTATAGGGTTAATGCGTTGCAACAAAAGGTGACTACAGCGACTGTTGAGACTCTCAGAGAGGCGAATCGTGTGGTCACTTTGGCCCTTACCGATGCTGATAGGAGCATCTGGTACAAGGCCCGGTTGCCATGGAGCACCGGTGAACTTGACACAGTCACTTTCTGTGACGCTTCATTTGCAGGTGAAGCCGGACATAAATCCCAGCGTGGACGTTTGCGTTACCTCACTTCCCACAAAGACGCAGTTGACGGTAACGCAACAAGCATAGCATGTACCTTTTATCATATAGTTCGTCTACAATGAAAACGGTATGCAGAGCCACACTACAATGTGAGGCGTATTCACTTCATCTCGCTGCAGAACACGGCGATAGACTCCGTGCAAGTGTTCTAGAGATACTAGGCCGACTCCCGACAAAGGGGGAAGAGGTCGCGCGTAGAAGCTTACTTCACGCACAACAAATACTCCGAATGTCGGAGCCTTACAGATCATCTACTGTGCGCGATTCTGAAGCAAGTGGAGGATAAGCGGCTAAGTATAGAGCTAGCCAGCTTGCGCCAAGCGCTGTGGGAACACGATGTCCTCAGCCATGAGGCTTTTGCCCCTTACGGCGACATACTTCGCTGGATAGCAACACACATGCAGCTTGCCGACTGTCTTACAAAGTCGATGAAGCCCGATTTGTTGAACGAAACGATCCGTACCAATATGGTTACGGTAGCTGAGAACAGGCCTGAGTTGCCCGCGACTACAAATGGCACCACAACCACTGGAGTTGAGTACGTGCGTACCGCTCCGACTGTCGCAATACCTCGACATAGTTCGAAAGATCACATTAAGCTTGATGAGCGGGCACAGTCCGGTAGCATCGCAGTGTCACACCATCATGTGTCCTACGTCGCATGATTGCGTGCAGTCACGCTGACCATGATCAGCTGACCTTGTTGTAGTTTCATTTCTTCGGATACCCATCATTCACTCGGAGATAAGGCGGGTGTGAAACATACCTGTTTTCTTCCCCGTGTGTAGAGCGCCGATGTGAATGTTTCGTATGGTAGCGTCATGACATGATTGTATAGTTTGAACAGTGCTGTAACAAGAGCGCATGTCATGTTCACTTTGAAACGTACCTACCGAAGGCGCCTTGAGCATCAAACCGAAAAATGGCTTGTATTGATGTATGCAACTCAAAGTCCCGGTGTTCCATTCCAAAGAGGTATTGGGGTTCAAGAGTGTGAATAGGCTTTTTCATATGTTGTATTACTGGGTTGGGGGTTGGGTGGTGCCACAAGCCAAACTAGGCGAAGAGATAGGGGATGGGGGCTCATTGGCATGACACCCGCTACAGTAAAAAGCAAGCCGCTGCAGTTTTATTGAGGCCCTTGGTCTTCCACATCCTGAGCCCGGCTCCTCAGTCCAGGGCTCCCCAGGTGCTGTCAGTGGCACGACCTCAGGGCGCCAGGGAGCAGACGGCGCCTCTGGGACCTCCGTCGGACTGCCCCAAAGCATCGCACCCATCGCAGCCGTGTCTGAGCCTCAGCACGACCCCGGCTCACCGCCGCAATAGGCTCTCGTGCGGCTCGGCTGCCTTCTTAGGCGAGCGCCAGCGCCGGCAGCGCCGCCGGAAGCACCGGCGCCGGAAGAGCACGGGGACCCCCAGAAGCTGCGGCGATCAAAATGTGGCAGTCGGCTCTCGCAACACTATGCGACAGGACCTGCGAGGATCCTGGTCTTACGGAGACACGCGCACGGCATGAGCCTCAGGCCTGGCCTCTTAAGAGAGCACGGCTACCACGGCTCAGGATGATCTTTACACATACGAGATTCGACAGGCCAGGGCCTTAATTTCAGCCGAAAGCATTGACACCAGAAGTGTCCGAGGTCGGGAACGACTTGGGTGGGATACTTACCAGATTGACCATGCAAGGTCCATCTCACCAGACCCTACCAGCGACGAATCTAAGGCTTTGAACAAACCCTCCCCAACGGAGAGAAGGCCACCCACAGACGCACCGAGTGAGCGATCAGGGGGTGAGCTTGACTCGTGCCAGATCACTGGTCTTCTGATTCCTGACGGGCTTTGGCTGAGGACAGCACTTGTGGCATCTTGCGTGGCTGGTTGTGTCAACATGCCCGTCTCGAGGAGCGATTTGCAGAGCAAGGATGGCTACTTTGGCGAAATCCGTTTGCAATACGATCCCGAGGAGAAGGCTGCGGCAGGGAATCCTCAACAACTGGGGGCAGATGCAGACTGAGAGAGAGAGAGAGAGACCACCTTTCTTAAATGCATTGGGACAGTTAAGATATGTGATCAGCAGGTCTCGCTAAATCAGGGGGTGGGTTTAAGAAGGAAGTGTGAAGAGCTGGGATCGCCAAACGAAGGGCCGGCTTTAAGAAATGTGACGAACCGGAATCGCCAAAGGAGGAGGCGGGTTCAGGAAATTTGATCAACCGGGTTCGCCAAATGACAGGGCACTTTGAGAAATGACGTGTGCAATCAGCTGGGTTTGCCAGAGGAGGGGGCGGGCTTGGCAAACTCGCTTACTGAGCAGGCGGGCTTAAGAAATGCCAAAGCAGGGGTCGGTTTTGAGAATTAACCACAAGGACTCCAGGTTTCTGAGACTTCCACACAGACAGTTGTGGGAGGAGCGCATAAGCCTGATGCAAGCCGAGCGTGATTAAGGTGCATACACACCAAGGCTTAAACACGAAAAATGCCACGCCCCGGAAACTGCGTTCGAAGAACAAGAAGCATCAAGCTGTCACATCTCCAAAGCTCCCCGAACATCAGCCCGCTGCGAGCCGCTTGTGAGCAACATTCATACGTGCGACTGCAAGTCGGCCCTTTAAACGTTCGATAGCTTCGAGCCTTCGAATTTGCATAGTTTCAAGCTCTCAAGCTTTGAGAGCCGATCGAACTCGACCGCGGCATAAAATGAAGTTTGAGCTTGAAGCAGCGAGTCGAGCTCGAAAGTTTGATTGAAAAGTTCGAACTTTGACCCCCTTCTCGCTTGAGAAGATCGCCCAAACGTTCGAACTCCAGCGCCCTTGAAAGCTTCGAACCTTTTTTGAAGCTTTCAAACTCGCAAACCTTGGACTTCGAACGACCTCGCTCGGGACACCATTCAACCTCAAAGCGCGGCTGAAGACCGCAAAGCTTTTCAAAACAACCTCCCCTGCAACCTGCCCCGCAACTCGTCCTGGAATGGGCCCGGAACCGCCCGCAACCCCGAAACCTGACCTTGCCCTTAAGACGTGTTGAGGAGCAGCAACAAGTGCGAACCGCGAGGCATGGCCAGCGGAATATTTTATACGCCGTTAGGAAGACAATTTTCTTGACCTACTGGACCTGTCTTGCTTTAAGACGCCAGCAGACAAATGCGAACTGCGTCGCCTGGCCAACAAAGTATCCCCTACCCGCTTTGAAACTATATTCCTCTAATGTTTCCGGAGGGGATGGGGTGCTGTGTTCGGCGAAGCAACGAATAAGCTTTAAGCCGGAACCCGAACCTTATTGCGGCTGAAGCGCCCAAAGCTTTCGCTGTTGGGGGGGAAGCTTATCTTTCGCTCTCGAAATCTTGCTTCCCTCGGCATGCCTGCGACGGCGGACGACAGTGCTGCTTCGGTGTTGCAGGGGCCACTGCGGTCGAGCTTTCTACTTTGGGGTGGTTTGTGTGGTTCCCTGGCAAGGTGCACGTTCGCAATTTGTGGGTCTGTTGGTGTTCTGTAGTATTCTGTAGTCTGCTAGGTCTGCTGGGAGGGGATCTTTGCTGCGACTGTGGTCTTGTTGTTTTAAGTGTTCGCGCTGTTGCCGCATAGCGGCGTAGCCCGGAAAAAGCGGGCAGGTGCTCGTCTCGCAGCTGAAGAGCAAGGAAGCCCAGGTTTGGAGCGAGGACATCTTGGCCCGGAAAGTGCGGAAAGACCGCCCCTCGGCCTCTGGAGCGGCTGTGAGCGCACACCCGCGCCCCCTCCTCCGCTCTAAGGCGAGGTGAGGTGACACTGGGCTGGGCTGCGCTCGGCCGCTGCGGCGCAGGGAGCTCACAGAATCGGGCAGCGACAGGCCTCAATCAGAAGTCCGTGACCCCCTTGTGCTGAGTCAGGTCGCTTCGCTTTGGGAAGATTCAGGAAGTGTTTCCAAGGATCTCGAGAAAAGAGCTCCGGCCGAACAGCGACGCGATGACCTACCTTGCGCACTCACAGACCTTGTAGCCGCGTAGCCTCAGTGAGCGCCTACAGCAGCCGTTTTCCTTTCGAATCTGACCACTCCCGTGGAGCAACAAGTGGTGAGGAATTCTTATGTCCAGCACCCCCAGGTAAAGCTAGCAGCCATGCAGCCGCCATGCTAGACTGCTGGTGATTCCTCGTCTCAGCCTGTCGTGCACAGCAACGTTGCACAGGGCCCATCGTTGCTCATGTCTTCGGCCCCTGCTGCATGTCCTTGTGCTGCATGTCCGGACGCCGCTTGTCGCTGGTGCTGACGGGAGCGAGTGACGGGAAGCTGGCAAGCACGCGCCTGAGGCGAACTGAGGAGCTGACGTGATGACGGGTGTCCCGCCACCCCGCAGCTTCGAACCTCCGATGCTCGGCATGAAGTTGCAGCTCTTTCAAAAGGGGCCGCTTGGGATTCTCTGCCGTCTGAGGCCAGGCTCCAAGGTGAAGCCGAAGAAGATCCTATCGTCCAAAGCCCAAGACCGGACCAGGGCAGACTCTCTAGACTGAAGAAAACCCTCCAGCTGCGATTCGCCCGCGGCTCCCGCGTCCACGTCGACGGGCCGATGGGGCCAGGGCCCAGCTCTGACAAAGACGAGGCCGATCCACCACTACTTGTCCCGCTCACGCAAGCCCTTTTGGTGTGCGCGGCTCAGCTCAGCGGCTCAGCTCCGCAGCGGCTCGATGCTTTGGTTGGGGCGCTCGTGGAGGTGCGGAGCAGCCTCTCACTCGACCGCCCGGGCGCCGAGAGCGCGAAGAGCAGAGTCGGAGTAGAGTTGGAGTAGAGATGAGATGATGGCTGGGCTGGGCTGGGCTGGGCCGTGGACCGAGGCCGCGGATTTACGTGGATCAGCTCGGCCCTCGGAGCCTGGCGAGGGGCCGCGGCGGGGGTTGCCGGCGCGTCGGATGTCTCTTCGTTCTGAGGAAGTCCGTCTTCCGGGAGGTGGCCGCCGTGACGCAGCTCCGACGCCGGGGAGGGAGAGGGAGAGGGAGAGGGCGGGGAGGAGGGCTCTTTTCACCGCGCCTCCGTCCTCCGCGCGCCGGCCGGAGCCGGAGAGCTGGAGGTGGGGACCACTGCATGATCACCTTGAACGTGCTGCGGTGCCTGAGCCCTTGGGTGGACTACCTGGCGCCCCAAGCCGCACACAGCAGAGCGCAGAGAGCGCTCGGCCGAGGAAGGAGCGGGTCACAAATTTTCCGAAGAGCTCAGGTGAGTTTGATGGGTTCGCTGGAGCTCTTCCACCTCTACCACCACTTTGTCGCTCGGCTGTTCGACCAAGCAAAAGTGCAAGCTCTTGATGCATGTGCCACGAAGCCTCCAAAGCTCTCAGCTAAAGGGGATTGAGCAGATTGTGTGGGAGGAGACGGAAATCAAAGCACGTTTCATGTGAGTTCATCAAAGGGGCGATACCGTCTGTTCCGGCCCGAACGGAGCGTCCTGGAATGGCCACTCTGTCACGACTGGTGCTGAGCAGCCTTTGAGGTTATCCTCGATGACGTCCGGCTCCCCACGTCCAGAGACTTCTTCATGTCCTCGGGGCGTCGCACCGGGCCCAGGTGGCTTTCGTGGACGAGTTCGGGGTTCCAAGAACTGAGCAGGAGCGGCCCGGCAGAGCCGAGATCTGCAGAGACCGGCCCGAAATGCTCTGAAGGATGACATCGTGAGCATTATGGAGTACTCGAACACCGTCGAAGGCACGGGGCCGGGGGACAGCGCAGCGCGCAGGGGTCGCTCCCTCTGAGAGTCGCAGAGTCGGATCGAGGCTTCATCGAAGAAGTCCGCCAAAGCCTTGAGTTGCGCGAACGAAGAGTCGAAGCCGAAGGGGAGCAGGGGACCACTTTTTTTTGGTGCTTCGTGACCGAGGTGTCCAGGCCTTCGGGGCCTGGTGCTCGCTGCCCCGCGTCGTCCTTCAAACGCTGCTCCACAAGGAACCGATCCGTCGAGAGCCAGCTTTAAGGCCACCAGTCTCCCTGCGTTGCCGGAGGCCCACTGTCACAAGGTGCCGCTGGCGGATTATGGCGACATGCCGCACATCTTTCGGATGGAGGACGCTCAAGTCTCGAAGTCTCTCGAAGTCTCTCGAAGTCTCGTGCTGATCCGGAAGCACGCCTCAGGAGAAGCTCACTGAAGTGCTCGCAGCCCAGCAAACTCGCCTGTCGCACTGGCAACTTCGACACAGCCAGGGACCGCGAGCGGATCGTCCGTGATGCTGTGAACTTGATTGTTTGGCACTCGTGCTCGTGCCAAGTTCTGCTGCTTGTCGTCGTAGCTGTCTCTTAAGGACAATCAGATCAGTTACAACATTCTGTGGGCCAACTGCGAACACACCACGAACCTCGTGCGCAGCCCACTGACGACCACTCACAGAACAGTAAGACTTGTGCCGGTTGGCTCATGCTTATGTCGACTTGATATGACTTGCTAATTTGAGGTCTCTGGAAAGCAGCAGTACACTTCCCCCGAAGTGCACTTCTTTATTTGGCCGCGTCCTTACCACATTGGAAAAGAAGAAGCGCCTTTGCGTAGACGAAGATGCCAGGAGCTTGGTGCGTTATACTTTGACACTTTTGGGTTTGGCGACCCTCCATGCCGGAGCCCTTCTGAAGCTTTTGAAGCTTCCCACTCTCGGGCCAGAGTCCGCTTTTCTCAGGTCGTGACATTAAAATGCTACAGCAGATACTGCCTCCACTTCCCGCTTTGGGCCAGGGCCTCGGAAAAAGCCCACGCAGCGGGGGGAACAAAGCAGAGCCTCCTCCACACTCTCTTCGACTCTTCGCCGCTTCGGGAACTGGTACTGTAGCACACCGGTCAGACCATCGGTCAACATCGACACGGCCCTTCCTCTTCCTCGCAACACGAAGACGCGTTGGAGGACGCGGACGCGCGCGTTGTCCTCGGAAAACGGGGCCAGGCCGCCTTTTGCCTTTTGCCTTTTGCCTTTTTTTCTTTCTTCGGCCCCACGCTCCGGGAGCAGAGTCCCTCAGCGCCCGCGCTCGCCTGCAAGCACTTCTTTCTTTGCATGAAGACTCTGTCAGGATCGAGGAGATGGGTTGCATCGAGTAGAATGGCGCTGACAATTTGTGTATGTGTGTGCATGTCGGCTAGTCGCTGTGCTTGCATGTACCTGCGTTTGCACAGAGGCACTGGTGGCCTACTACTCCTGCACGGTGGGCGTCTCAGAAAGCGAAGGGCTGGTTCTCTGGGCTTAGGTCTTAGGTACTTGCTTGAGTTCGGAGCGCATGGCCTGTGGAGCTTCGATCGAGTTTCCGTTGGTTGCCGCCAAGTTTCACGGAATCCACGGTTTGTGATCGTGGGTGTTGTTTGGGTGTGTTGCATTCCGTGCGGCAGCGTGTTTTCGAAGAGAGGTGTTGTTCGGGTGGTCAGGGTGTGGCTGGTGTGTTTTTTGCCCTCACACAACCTCCTCCCATCAGGAACTCCAGACGCGAACAGCTGAAGGACAAAAGGGCTTAAAGAACACAAAGAGTCGTCCTTGGGTCAAAAGTCAAAAGGTCAGCCGAAGAGCCAGAACCGTGGGCGACTTGGGGCGTTACGACTTAGAACTTTCTCCGCACCCGATGAAGACCGTCTACGAGACTGAGGTCTGGGGCTGTCGGATGGAGAGCGGGGCCTTGTTCAAGCGCTCAAGAGACTGAGAGCTTTGCCCCTGGTGATCACCGCAGGTGAAACAGCTGCTTGATATTGGAACCGGAGGTATGACTGCCATCTTCCTCGGTTGAACCGTTGGAATGGCCCTATGGTTGGCGCTCTCGATGTAACGACCCCACAGCACCTCAAGACGTCCTCCAGTAAAGCCAGTTCTCAGCTTGGTCCTGAAACAACAGAGCCTGCCTTGTGGCGAGTCAAGAACGTGATGGAGGCCAAAGCAATCGATGCAGAGGCTCCTCACCCTGTGCAAGGCCCTGCCTGGCCTTTCGGCCTGGCGAAGTTCAGCCCAAATGCGCCGAAGGCCACCCCTCGTGCAAGTGCAGGGCAGTGAGTACAGACACGCGACAGACGCATCCGGGCGTGCCGAGAGATCGGGCGGCTCATGCATGTGGGAGTTCCTCGACGGCCGTCACACCGGCGGTCCGACCTAAGACCCGCTGGAGCCGCTGGAGTACTTGGAGTCTCCAATCGAGAGGCGAAGCAGGACGGAGAGAATGAACCCGCAGGTTGGATCGCCGTATCATCAGTCGTTGTTTCCCGTTAGGGTTGTTCTTTGGGGTTGAGAATCATCCCATCTGTGGCAGCAAAAAGGTTTTTCGGCTGCTCGTTCTCGGCAGCGGAAGAAGCAGGAGAAAAAGGAAAATTCCCTACAGATGTTACTGCGGCTGTCAACCCGCTTCCGCCCAAGATCCCCCAAGCATCGAGCGGCGCCGTAGTCGTCATAGCTTCCCCGAGGGGTTCGAGAGGGCGTGCACCTGATGCAGCCAAGTTTCAAACGAGAAAGAGGAACAGGCAGTGGACGGGAAGACGGGCAGAGCCCCACAACTGAAAAGGAGTATGGACGGCAGACACTTGGCAGAACTTGCGGAACATGGCAACAATAACAACCCAGGCCGCCACACAGCGCGCGAGGCCTGGCATTCTGGCAGCACAAGATGACCACTGACCAAGAGCAGAAACTGGAAGGCCAGGATACTACGAAACTTGCGCAAGATGGCAACGACCCCGACCCCCAATTTACAACAACAAGCCTACAATCGGCAATGGAAGGCGAAGAGCCGTAGCGGTAGCGACTATCCTACTATCTATTGGACTTAGAGTCTATAGAGGTTTGCCTGTTTGTTGTTAAGGTTCCCGGTGTCCCGTGTTTGCGTCAGGCTTTGCCAGTATTGGCCCAGATTCTTGTCCAATTTGCCCGCATGGCGCAGCTCGGCTTGCGATGCAGATCGCGGACCGTGGGCGACCGGTCTCGTGTGCGGCACCCGAGGCACACGGTGGCCGCCTCCTGGCGCAAAAGCCTCATCTCCAGAAATGACGTCTACCATTTGCTGGTGAAGGACACAAAATGTGAAAAAAACTCAGAACCGCTTTAAAACAGGAAGCGGAGCTTTGCGAAGCGAAGCTAAGCATGGCTGCTCCCAGGAGCTTTGCCGTGCCATCTTCAACGGAGCGCTTGCTGTCGGCTTTCTGGTGTGCGGTTCTCAGGCGGTTGTAGAAAACGCGGAGAGAACTGAAGCCTTCGTGTCCTTCTAAGGTGGGCTCCTGATATGATCAAAATTGCAGACGGTAGGCGATACACGCGATACCCCATCCCCCGCAGTGCCTCTCCTCCGTGACATCCGTGCCAGGTATCCTGTGCGGATCTCCATCGCCATCGTCTTTGCTTACCTCGTCCGAGCCCGAAGGGAGGAAACAAACACGCTTGGCCCCTTGGCCCCTGCGCCCTGCATGCCTGCGATGCCTGCGACCTGGGGAGGCCAGTGATGCCGCCTTCGCACTGCTCGCCCAGGCTCGGGGGAGCGGCTCAGCGGCTGTTGTCCGCGCGCTGTCTTTCTCTTTGGGGGGAGGTGGTGACGCGGATCCTCGTGAAGACCAAGGGCCATTTCTGGTTGATCGGCGGCAGCGACCACACGTGCGCCCCTTGCAAGCGCCAAGCGCAAGCCCAAGCTCCGGTGTCTCTCTCTTTCGCCGCCGCAGGTGGGAGGAGGAGCAACTCCTCAAGGCCAAGGCACACACGGAGCTAACGGTGCGGTGCGGTGCACGTGCACCGTTCTGTTTTTTTGGCTGCTTGTCTGCCGCCGCTCCACCGGCCGGAGGCCCACAAAGGCAAAGTGGAATGAGCGCACGTGCATGTCTTAGCTCGACCTTACTCTTCTTCGCGACTCCAAGAGCTGCGAACTTCAAGTGCTTGAAGTCTCCCCAAACGTCTGTGTTTTCCGATTTGCACAGAGACGAGAGACGAGCCAGGCCGGACAAGAAAAAGGTGCCGGCGACAAGGGCTCTGGCTCTGCCGCTCTGTCAAAAAACTTGCTCTGCTCCGCTTCGGCTCGTTGGCCCCGCTCTCTCTCGAAAGGAGGGAAGGCGGTGAGCGCATAAAAGCGCACGCGGCCGCAGGAAGGGGGAGGGCGGGGGGAAGGCCCAAAATGGCCTTCAGAGATGCGGACGTAGGTCGACGTAGGTTCCCCGCTTTGGGCAGCGCATGAGCCTGGAGCCGAGGCGCATGGAAGTGAGTACTAAGTTACTACTCTCTTCTTTTGAAGGATTCTTAGTCTTAGCTTCCTTCGAAAAGCAAATTCTGCAGGGCTGGGTTGGGGGCATGGGCCCGGCAGGTCTCGGTCCCCCTGCGAGGAGGCGACTCAGCGCCGTCGAAGCGGGTCGGAGGCTGTGCGTCAGAGTCGTCAGCGTGTCGGAAGGATGGCGGAGCCGCCGCGACCGCGGCCGCGACCGCGGCTCGCTCGCCAAGCGGTTGGGGCTCTCGGAGGCGCCTTGGCCTTGGGACCGGCGAGACTTGGACCGAGACGGAGCCGCCGGAGCCTCCGCGGAGTCGTCGCGGTCGGCCGGTGCGGTGGAGACCCGAGAGAGATCGGAGCTCAGAGTTGCCTTAAGCTCGGGGCTCGGGGTCTTCAGCGCCCTCCCTCCCCTCTTTTCCTCTTTCTCTTCTTTTGTCCAGCTGCACACTCCGAGGAGAGCGCAACTTCCGAAGCCGCAGCCTGGAATGGAGCGTCGCAGAGACAGAAACGCTTCTTGAGACGCTTTGATTCGAGGTCCCTCCTAAGAGCCCTTCACGTCTTCGGCTCGGCGAAGAGGCCCGGCCCCAGCCCCCAAAGGGCTTTCACTCAAGGAAGCATCTTGTCCGTTACACGGCACACTACACCAGCACGCTTCGCGCCGCTTCGCTACATGAGCAGGTCTTTGCCCGCCTGTATCGTGATGCGTCCTCCAAGCAGCAGGCGCGGCCCAGTTGTCGATGGCATTCGTGACTTTCGACGCACGCGAAGGCTTTGGCACAGTGGGCACAAGACAAGGAGAGGAGGGAAAGGGAAGCTTTCGCTCGATCAATGCAGGCCGCAGGCTAAAGCATGCCCGCGAGCGAGCGGCGCGCTTGATTTGGAACGAACTCGAGACTTTGCGCCGAGGCTTCGGAAAAAACAGTACAGGAGATTTGTGAGCCTTGAGCTCAGTGCCTCTGAAGAAAATGCTTTCGTCACAATTCGCGGGATTGGAGTGACAGGCGCATGCACAAAGATCAGAGGCTGCGGTCCCGGAGTTCAAGAGTGATTCCGAATGTGGAACACGAGCTGTGGCCAGGAAGCAGCCTTGCGCACAGGACGACTCGCAGAAGCGCCAGAGTCACGTTTTCGTGTGAGTTGCAGAGAGACGGCGGCTTGCCAGGTACATGCCGGTGCAAGTCTCAGACTCAGAGCGGCTTGCTTTTCGCACGGAGCAGAGCGGCGGAGCGTGAAGCAGTCCGAGTCTGAGTTCCGGGAAGGAGAGCGCGGCGCCGACGCTGAGCGTGAAGGAGCAGAGGATCTTCCTGCAAAAGCAGAAGAACTGGCCCGGCGCCGAGTCCTCGCCGTCAGTCTCTTCACGCTTTTCTCTGGTTCCTTTGCACTAGGAACCAGCAGCGCGAAAGACGCACGCAGGCCAATGAGATTCTCAGACGGCAAAAGGTTGAGGGCTGGGGCTCCGCATGTCCTCATCGCCTTCCGCCAAGCCTCAGAGTGCTGAGCACTCCTCCATGCCCGCAAAGATCTGTTAGCCGAAAGGCCCTTTCAAAAAGTTCCTGCGCATCCATCCGTGCCTAGCAACGCCCAGCTCGCGTTCAGCTCCTTCTGGCGCGCGGACACGATGCAAGCAACTCTCCATCTCCAGTGCAGGGTACTGGCAGCAGCCTTTCCTCCGTCTCGCGATCGCACACCCAATGCCAAATCTTTGCTGCGGGCTTTTGCCAGGCTCAGCGAGAAGAGCGCAGCGAAGCAGAGCGCCGGCGTCCGACGGGCGGAGGGCTCGAGTCGTGAGGCTTCGAAGGACCCGACACGAACCAAGGACAGTATCTGGAGGACTTCGACCGTCCGTCTGCCTTGCGCTGCACTTGCACTGGGCTTAGCCTCATGGCAAAGGACCACAGCATCCACAAGAAAGTCTCCAAGGAGAGTGTCTGCCTCGAGACGCTTTCTGGGTTATTTCGTTCGTTCGCACAAGACGTGCGCAGAGGTGTATCTGATGTGCTCGCCTGCTGCCATCGGCTCTACAAGGTCGTAACAGGTCGCGGTCCCTAAACGTTGTTTCTCCATTCGCATTGGAAGGACGGCTGGCAGCGCACCAGGCGGCTGCAAAGGTTGCAGGAGTCTGCACAGGAGGCCCCCAAAGAGCAGAGCGCGGAAGGAGGTTTGTGTGGATGCAACGCTTTCAGGAGCTTTGTCTTTCCATCGAGGCCAACCAGGTCCATAGGCGCCCAACCCCGGGACAGAGGGACAGAGGGGCCCTTGGGGTCGCGTCTGAGAGATGGCGCTTGCCAGGGCGGCCAGGGGGAGGGCCGCCTCTGCGCCGCCGCGTGCGGCTAGCCGTCCGGCGGGTGGAGAGGCGGACTGACACACGTGACTCACAACGTCACAACATGTCACTACTGCCGAAGTGCGGGGCGTCTGTTGAGCGGTTCGCAGTGAGGTTGCCTGCATGCGGCTGCACCAAGACTCTGAGGAGAGAAGGTGAAGGGTTGGACAGTGCCGGTGCCGTGAAGCTGTGAAGGACAGGCGTCGACGTGTCGAGCAGAAACGGCGAGAGCAGGACCGGCCAGCAGCCGCAGCGACTGTTGAGCATTGCCAAAGACCCCACAGGACGAGTTCATCCGCCAGCAAGCCAGACCGAAAAAGGCCATGCCTTGCATGCCCTGCATGCCCTCGCAATTGCAACGTTGGTGGTGGAGGGAGGCTCAGCTTCTTGCAGGACAGGACGCCCAGACCATCAGTCAGGCCCGAATTTTCCCACCGTTGCAAAGCGGCTATGCGACTATCCAGCACGAAGCCATCAGTCCGCGGAGCACGCAGAGGGCAGAGACGGATCGCAAGGCAAGGCACGGAATCATTTGCGTGGGCCGTTGGCTGACGGTCTTAACGTCTTAACTTCTTTCAGGCCAAGAGCCCCCAAAGCCCAGCTACAGCGACTACAGCGACGGCGACTGAGCCAGAGCACACAACCCCGCCCAGTCACACAGTGACACGGATTTGGAGACCTCAGAGTCAGGTCGCCCTTGTCGGCTGTGTCGCCCGTGTCCAGTGGCACATCGACGAGCGCCCGATCAAGCCGTCTACAAGGAGAGAAAGGACCTACACGGGTCGTATAGAGCCTTCGAGATGTGACGTCCCGTGTGCACGACTGATGCTACTACTTGGGAGGCAGTGTTTCGGAGAAGACAAGAAGTGCTGCGGCCAGTGCCCCAGCGGAGGAAAGCCACACCGCCGAAACCCGTGGCTTTAGTACAGCGCGCTTCGCCCTGAGGAGACGGAGACGGAGAGTCGTGTGGAGGTCGAAGTCGGCGTTCTTGGACTTCTTGGAGCTTCTGGAGATCCGGGTCCGGGAAAAGGCTGCCTGACGTGCCCCAACAAAAAGAAGGCAGCAGCTGCTAGCGGCCCCCCTTTTGGGCCTTACCGCGCGGGTGACTGTGGTGAGGTACTGTGAGGTGCTGACTAGAGGACTTGCTCTTCTGCGCACCCGAGCCGCGGAGAGCTTCCTTTGGGACGAGTCGGTCCGTGCGTCGGTTCTGACCACCGATACACTGCTGTCCCGCAGCGAGAAATAGGAAAGAACGCGGGGAGGCGGAGGCTTTAGGTCGTTCTTAGGGGCCTCGTTCGGACTCGGACGCTCAGCAGCTCAGGTTCAAGATCTACGCGCAGTCTCTCTCGGACCGGTGCCTCGCAGAGGCTTCCTTGGAGGTGAAGTCGATCCTGAGGCCGCGGCAAGCTGAAACCCAAAAACCGCAGAGACCTCATGTGCTCGTGCTGGTGGCAGGCTCTGCTCTTCTGGCGAGCTGCTTACACCTGACACAGAGACCGAGATGCCTCTCCTGCGTCGCTCAGGTTTCGAAGGCAAGCTGAGGATGTGGTGCCAGTCCGAAGCCAGCTGGTTTCCTTGCGAGCCCTATCTACACGTCGCGACCTCGGCAATCAAGGCGCTTTCCGCATGATGTCCCTCCTACTACCTCTACCTACCCGTCCGCTTGTCTTCATCTGAATGTGAATTAGGACATACTTGAAAGGTCCTTTATGTATCTCTGTTCAAGCAGCAGTTGGGGTTCTACACTGAAGTGTAACGTTTCCTCAAACAAGAAACAAGAACTCGCAAGTCTTTAAATAAGATGTAAGGTTGCACGTTACACTCTTACAGAATCCGTCTGGTGTTTGCATAAAGCATTGTAAAGCATCCGTAAACACAGACACGTTTCAGTAGTACATGGTACAGCGGTTGTTCCGCTCCTGATTTTCTACGATATGCCGTTCATCAGCATCCAGCTTGCGAGAATGCCAGGCTCCAAAATCACGAAGGCTAGCCTACGCGGCTAGCGGAGTTTCTTATCAACCCTCCTTTTCGGGCATGAAGAGGGAGTAGTTCGGCTTGCCCTGGAATGGAGAAACGACGCTCGCCTCCCGGGCCCGGCCGGGCGCAAATGATGCTCATGATGCTGCTGAGAATCTTGGCGAGACTCCTTCCTTTTCGGGCATGAAAAGGGAGTATTTCGGCTTGCCCTGGAATGGAGAAACGAGCCGCCAATGATGCTCATGATGCTCGCCTCCCGGGCCCGGCCGGGCGCAAATGATGCTCATGATGCTGCCTGGCGGCTCCGTGTGCTGCCAGCGTGTTCGCATTTGAAGTTGCCAACATGCCGCCAGGCTGAAATTTCCACGAAGCTTGTGAAGCCTGGAATGTGAAAACGCTGGTAGGCATCAAAATCCTGGCATTTGTCGAATTGCGGAGCGGTATAGTTGCTCAGATTTGGGAATTTTGGTGGAACGTTAATCCCTGCCAATGCTTTCGCATCTGAGGTTGTCAACATGCCACCAGGCACAAATGTCCAAAATGTTTAAAGCTGAAAATACGAAAGCATTGGCAGGAATCAAGTTTCCATCTATAAGGCAGTGCGATCATGTGGTTGTGTTTGCATTCAGGCCCCAAGACTTTTGGGGACATCTTCACAGACAGCTGATATGGATTATGAGGGCGGGGGCGTGAGCATACATGTTTCTTTGTTTTAGTGTTGTTCTCTCCCGTGTTTTGCTTATTTGGCTTGCTTGTTCTGTCGTTGATGTCCGTGTTTCTTCTTTGTCGCTCTTGCAAGGGCCCTGATCGTGCATCACTTCAGACGCCCGAGGGTTGTAGACGGCCAATAGCATCGAGACTTCTCAGGTGACTCTCCGGAGCGCAGGGGTTCAGCAAGGCCTTTGCTCTGCTGCTGCCACGATTGGTGTCGTCGATTGCTTACGCGCCAATCTGTTGCGGTTTGGGTCCATCTTCGGCTCTTCGACAAGTAGCTCATGTGCCAGGGCTTGGGCCGGCGGCTCCGACAAGAGGGAAGAACTGTATCAGGCATCGCAAGCCGGGGAAGGGTTGCCAGTGGATTGCGCTTGATGGTACCATGCCAGGCAGACGGCTCACCGAGGTTGTCCTGAGGGCCGTGAAGTTACAGTACAAGCGGAGGCGCAGCTGCCAGGGTCCATTGCGAAAGCTGAGCCTTTGCACATGGCTTTGAGGCTAAAGGATCGACGACTGCAACCACGAGTCAAGCTAGGAATGGACACGTGGAGCAGCTCCGCTACCCCTGCCTAATGTCTAGGCCGATCGAGGTGTTGCCGCGCACGGCAGATGAAGATGGATTGTTGGCTTCTTCATCAACTTTCTTGCCTTTGAGAAAGAAGCTCACCTTATCACGAAAGCAAGCAAGAGAAGCAAGCGAAGGAGGTTGCGAGTTCGAGGTTTGCATGCTGCTTCCGGAGGCTGTAACAAGCCCATCTCCGTGTTTTCGGGTGCAGATTCCTGGAGAGTGGTTGCCGGACCATCTGCGAGAGCCGCGTGACGAGCAAGAGGAGAATGGGTCGGAGAATGCAACAAAAAGCGGACCAGAAGAGGTACTGTCCCTTGGTTCATGGAAAGTGAGAACCGTACAGAGCTACTTAGTGTACGTACCGAGGAGCTTTTGGTTTTCAAAGGTCAGGTGGTTTGCGCCGGGCGTATATGGATACATGTTCATCTGATGCTACAGCCGAGATTGCCAACTCGGAACACGCATCTGACATGGAGTCCCATGGCTCCTTACTGCTCTGGTATGCACATGTAACTCATGTAACTGCTTTCTTCATTGGCCTTTCCGTCCTGACACAAGCTCGGGGTTGGGAGAGTAGCTGTAGAGCTGTAGTATCTGTAGAGCCTTACCAGGACAAAGTGCTCACACGGAAGCCTTCCTTCCACAGATCGCGTCGCGTCGGTCGGCGTGAGTGGAATTTCCGAGTCTCCACACCCCGAAAACGAGGTTCTTCTTTCGTCAGGGACGCCCAGCTGATGCCCACCAGGTGGGCACAGCTTCTTCAGTACCTGTACAGATGCTGGTGACGTTGTTGTTGCACTTTCCTGGTTCAGGTGCAGTTTGAGCTCCCATCGCAGATCACGAGGCACGTGGTTTCCGCAGCAAAAGAAGAGAGCTTTCTGAGTATGTTGGAGGCTCACAGCGCCTCAACCGACCACGGCCAAAGCACCGCTGCGGCGGCCGCGGCGTGCTTCGCCAAGCGACTCGTCGCGGCGCGAGAGTGCGGATGGGAGTGTGAGGAAAAAATCGACGCCTGAGCACAAAAGACGAACTGACGAACTTGCTCTCTGGAGCTTCTCTTATGAAGCATGCAGCTTTGGAGCGCACTTGGCCCACCCAGATGCTCAAGCTGCGCCGGAGGCACCAGATACTGTTTGCATGGCTGTAGACTTGAGTACTGGCTGGGATGGCACTGGAAGACCTCGCGCTTGGCACTCAGAGGCTCCGCTTTTTTCCAGCCGGGGCATTGAAGGAGTCGGTTGGCACTTGTTGGTGCTGAGATGTGCTGAGGTTTTCCTCGCTCGGCCATGGACATGGAGCGGGTGCCCAAGTTAGGGCGCGACGAGAGTTCAAGGAGATTGCTATGTGCAGACTTGCATCTATGGGGCCCACCTTTTTTAAACCCCCCTTCATGTTTTTGACCCCCCGCATCGGCAAAAGAATGTGCAGACGGTGTGAGATGTGCTGGGCTATCTGTTGGTGTTGCAAGTGTCCACGAAGAGAGTCTTTGGGATCTTTGAGGCTTTCCGGTTCGGAACTCGACGAGCGCGAGGAGCCCGACGAGCCCGGGCCGCTCAGTACGGGGGCCTCCTTCGTTCCTTGTTTTGCCGAAGGCGTGGCGTCGCCGTGTCGTCGGAGTGTTTTTTTGTCTGCGTGTCGCGCGACAGCCTCTGAGGCTCCTGCAGGGCGAGGTGCAGAGGGTGCTGAGCGACGACGAGTGGCTCGGCCTCGGGGCAGGGGCACGGAAGGTTTTGGGGCGTTGAAGGGCCGCGATGAGGTTGGCGATGGCCGTCACCCGCGCCGCTCCGGCCCCTGACACCTTCGAGCCAGCAGCCCAGAACTAAAGGACACAGAAGAAGGCAGCAAAGGCAGCAAGCAGAGCAGAGCAGCTCTCCCAGCGCGGCGCGCCGAGGTGTCTGCTTGGCCCGGGCTCGGAGGTCTCCTTCGGCGCCGAGGCCGAGGCACAAAAGCTGCAGCCTGGCGGCCTGGTCTCTCCGCCACCTTGTTCAGGAGCGCAGCGAGCAAGGCGAGGAAAGCGAGGGCTCCGCTGAGGCGTCCCTGCCGTCCCCGGACGCGGAGATGGAAAGGGCGATCCAAAGGGAGATCCAACACAGCTTCGGCACCAGCATGGCCTCTACCGAAGGCCGGCGGGACCCGTATCCGCATCGCTTCTCTTTCATCGTGTCTCAGCATCGCTGAGGCGTCTCTGCGTATCTCGGAAGGTGTCCGAGTTCCGAGAGGAGGCAACGTCAAGCCGGAAGTCAGAGGCACCAGCCGCTGTAATTGGGCTGCATGTGCACATGCACGAGGTGAGGGTAGTACGGAAGTACGGATCGCCGTTTGCAAAAGGATCTCGCTCAACGGAATCCAGAGCGAAAGACCGTCCAAGCAGAGTTGCGTGATGCCAGAAATCGCTTTACGCCAGGTCCGCGACCGTGAGCAGTGCGACCGGCAGTTCCTCGAGGCCCAGCGGCTTAGCGGACGGGCAGACCGCTCTCCACTTTGGTCTTGAGGTCTCCTTCGCGCTTTCGGGGCACTGCTTCGCTTTGGACCCAGCACTCCTCTCTCTGCTGCACTCCGCTGCTGCAATCTTCTGAGGGAGTGCGGAGACTGGGACCGCTGGCCCGTTCACGAGCGCCTCTACGCAAGGGGCACCAAGGCACAGCACAGCCGCGCCACGCTCTCAGCAAACCCAACATGCCGGAGCGCGAGGAGAGCGTGACGCGCTCTTTGCCTGAGGCGGCGAGCAGAGAAGCAGAGAAGTTGGCAAAGAGAGGGTTTTCTCCGAAGCCCTTGAAAGACCACGGCCCGGCAGCAGCTTGGCAGACACGCTGCCGCGAGCCTTTAAGCGAGCTGCAAGATGCCGTGCGAGAGCGAGATGCTCGCAGGATGCTCGTGCTGCGGGTAAGGGGGTCGTTTAGCAAACTTGTGGTCAAAGTCGCTTAGCCAGTTCCAGTCCGTACCGTTTTGAAGAGCAGGGCCCAGAGAGTCCGTGGATTTATATATGTATGTTTATATATACATATATGTGTATGTACGTATGAGCCTGGACCCTCGCCTGCATGTCGAGTGCGAGTGCCAAAATGTATGTAGGTGGGCTCCTTTTTCTTTAGCCCCCTCCATGTTTAAATGAACCCCATTTCACCAACGCTAGGATACCGTGTGTAGTTTGCCCCCCTCTCCCCCGGCCCTCGCCATTTCCTTTCAGCCTCCTGGCCTCTGCTTTTTTACAGTTGATTTTGACCCCGGAACATGTTTTTGTCTGCCCCAGTGGGCCACAAAGTATTGCAAAGCATGTCTTGATTGCCCCCCCCCCCTACGGCACAAGGCTATGGTCCGTCCAAAGGCACGCACGACTTGTACTTGGAAACCGTGTGTTTTCGAACCCTGCCCCCGAACATTCTTTTGATTTTCTGCCCACCTGTCAAAGATGCCTCTTTACTGGAAGCAAGAGGCAAGGAGGAGTGTGAATACCGAAGAATCGACGGGTGCATGTTCTGTAAAGCTTTAGGCCCGAGCAGATGCCACTCTGTTCCTTGAAGTCTGCAGAAGTGCAGCAAGAGCACAGAGCCGCACGTGCACTACTCGTAAGAACTGTCACAGTTTGTTCGCTTGGTGTAAGAAATTCGTTCTGTGCGCTTTCAGTTTATGGCTTACCTCCGTTGAGACCCCTCTGAGCCGCTGGAAGCTCTTCAGCAAGATCGGGTTATCGCCAAATGAGCGGGCGTGTTTAAGACATGTGATGAATCCGGATTGCCAAATGAAGGGGCGTGTTTAAGGCATATTATGAATCCGATATGAAGAACCGCAATCGCCAAATGAGGGAGCGTGTTTAAGATATATGATGAATCCGAGTCGCCAACTGACGGGGGCGTGTTAAAGATTTTGGATGAGTCCGAATCGCGAAAGGAGGGGGCCGTTTTTAAGATGCATGATGAACCGGAATCGTCAAATGAGGGGGGCGTGTTTGAGATATAGGATGAGTCCAATGGTTAAGATATATGATGAACAGGAATCGCCAAATGAGCGGGCGTGTTTAAGACACGTGATGAATCCGGATTGCCAAATGACGGGGCGTGTTTAAGATATATGGTGACTCCGGTATGATGACCGGGAATCGCCAAATGAGTGGGATGTTTAAGATATATGGAATGAAGTCGAATGGCCAAATGATGGGGCGTGTTTAAGATATGTGATGAACCCGAATCGCCAAATGAGAGAGCATGTTTAAGATGTATGATGAATCCGAATCGCTCCACAAGGGGGGGCATTCAAGATTTATGATGAACCGGAATCGCCAAAGGAGGGCGCGTGTTTAAGATGCAACATGAATCGGAATTGCCAAATGAGGGGGCGTGTTGACGGCAAAGGAGAAAACGTGTTGGAAAATTGCTTATATATATATATATATTATGATGATGATGATGATGATGATGATGATGATGAAGCGTTTAATCTGCCTCAGGACCCCAAAAAATGGTTTCTAAGTGACCCAAAACGGTGCGGAGACCCGAGTTTGCTAGTTGGCCCCGAAACAAGTTTGCTAAGTGACCCCGGGACCAACGTGCCGCGCGTTGAGGCAGAAGCTTGCCGAAGGCTCCACGACGGGGTCCAGTCTCGCCAGGAGCAGCTTGCGAGGCACGTGCGGGTTCCCTAAGGACCCTTTCCGTCTCGGTTTCGCCACTCTGGGAGGACGCGCTTGAAGTACGAAGAAGCCTTTGCCAGGGACCGAGCGAGTGCTTTTCTCCCCGCTCCGCTCGGATCTGCAGGCTGCTGCGGCGCCCTTCTCTCCGAATCGAGGAGCTGAGGCTCAGGGAGGCGCTGGGAGGGGAGGGGAAAAGGGGTGCCCGTGGCCTGTAGCCTGCAGGGCCGAGCCCTCGCAGAGGCTTCAAGGCCACACTCACACGCCTGTTCTCGCAGCCCGGTCGGCCGTCTGGCGTGTCCATGTACTCTTGCAGGCTTGGGTGCAGGAGCAACGGAGCAAGTGGAGGGGTCTCGAAATCAGGCTTCGAGCGTGCGCGAGCAGTGAAGACCTATGGCAGGAGCAAGAGCTCTGGAAACGACAGCGCGATGTCTGGTGCCCGCTGAAAGCTCTGAGACAGTTTTTGGGGATCTTGTCTCAAGGAACGGCGAGATGAGAGAGCCAAGAATCTCGAGATGATGGAAGCAGACTATGCCGAGCGGCACAGCGTCCATCGCACGGCCACCTGGTCTCTTCTCTCCACTCACCAGCACAGACGACGGGCAGACTGCCCAAAACTGCAGAGGTGACTGCGCCGCAGATCCGGATCGGGAGCCTCGGCTTGTGAGAGCGGCGGAATGTGATATGGCCGGTCCGGGAGTAAGCTAAGCCCACCACCTTGCAGGAACGTTCATGCATCCGGGTATTCTGTGATTCGATCTGGCAAGACAATATACTGGAAGTATAATCTCGCATGCTGGCAAGAGGCTGCAGAGCGCAGCACGCTGCTTCTCGTTCTTCCGCTTGCAAGCATAAGGTTGTGGCCAGATTGTGCTCATTTGGGAGGAAGAGGAAGGCCACAGCTTGTGCAGCACTTTCAGCAGCTTCAGGATCACGTGCATGTGCAAGGAAAAGCTGCAGAAAATGCGCACCGAGAAACTGGAGATGGAAAGGACGGCATCTCAGCATGCTCCCAGGCTCACGCTTCAGCTTGGCAAGCCTTCTCCAAGGCAATATATCAGCGACAAGTCTGTTCACCGTCATGTGCAGCTGGACGCCGCAAAGGCAGGAGCACAGTTCGCGGCACGAGCAGCTCGATACTCGAAGCTCAGAGGTTCAGCAGTCCATCCGGCGTTTGTACCATGAGGCCATGGCAAGTCAGACATAACCCTTTCGAGCGCGAGCGCAAGCAGCGCAAGCAGCGCAAGCCGTTGTTTCAGAGGACTTGGAGAGGAGGGGCGCAAGGCTTCGGACGCTGCTTGGCGGGAAAAGCATCCCACGGGGCGCGAAAGGCCTCTGCCAAAGCACCTGTTTTGAGGCTGCTCGCTGAGAAGATGCAAGCAGCTCCTTGGCTGGAAAAAATTCTCCCATTCTCTTTCGAGATGTCCCTGCACAACGAGGAGTTGGAGGAGGAGGAAGTCTGGAGGCACACCCCATCTGTTACTGCGAAAGGCTTTAGAACTTTAGGGCTTCAGCCAGGTCATCGGCGCAATCGCTGGAGCGGCGTCTTAGGCTTGCGAGCCCAAACCAGGCCATGCACATTTCCTTCTGCTTCTCTGGCTTCTCTTTTCACTGAGCTTGTGCCTCGGGACATGCCATGCTCAGGAAATCCCTGGCGATCGTATGGGAAGAGCAGGCGGCCTCGTTCTCGTTGTCCCTGTAGCCGTAGAACAGGTGCCGAAAATGCGGGGTGCCGGCATTCAGGTCTTCGCGACCCTCCAACTGATCGATCACCTCGTGCGGGACATTCATTGACAACCATGGACAAACCTGATTGCGCGCAAGCCGACGACATGGACGAAAGAGCGCGTGCAGACGCAGCTGTGCAGATTCAGAGCGCGCAGCGCGGCAGGCAGACGCAGAGGCAATCGCTACCGCAAGGACATAGCCCCAGCAGTACCACACGCGAGGAAGCTTCAGAGCAGCGAGACGACATGGACGAAGACGAAAGAGCACGTGCAAATGCAGCTGTGCGGATTCAGAGTGTGCAGCGCGGCAGGCAGACACGCAGGCACTTCCTACAGCAAGGAAACAG